GTTTCTTGGGTTCTTGTGAGCTTATATTTGTCATCCACTGACGTCCAGAAATAAAGTAAAATTTCATAGGAACGTTCTATAACTACGGCTAATGGTTTTATACCTTTGTTGGCATTCCCCCAAATTGGTGTCATTGTACATAAATGAAGTGTTGAGATTATTGGTCATAATACTCGGTGGTCTATCGTGTAGTGTAGGCTAGCTTTAACATTAAAGCCTTTAGGAATCATTGCGTGAAATGAGGTTTTCTGAAATCATTACGATTGGTTTAAAACTTGTCACAATCTTATAGAATATCACAATATTAAATGCAGGGAATGCACATAGATGGAACCATACAAAGATTTGGCATCAGACATTTTGTCCAAAGTCAACTGGTAAATGTGAGAGCATTTTGCAATTCTCTTCATTTAATTTTGCTACTTGGCATCCTTCCACTTAGAAATTAAACGAATGAAAAGCTCTGTATCCCCACCCCCTTAAAAAAATATACTTAAACTTTTCATGTAATGTATAACATACAGCATCAAGATCATCTCCTTGTAACTCACACAGTGTTTGTAGATATCGTTCTCTGTCTGTTAGGCACGTGGCCGCAGGGAAAACAGATAAATTGAATTATGAATGACATTACTACCGCACCAAGGAAAAGGAGAACGGGAACACGCAACACGACGAATACTAGTGTTAGAATTGATGTGACGTGTGCCAAAGCAATCGGCAAAGATATTTGACAGATATATGTAATCTTCGCGATGAGAGCAACCCCGAACGTCACTGTGGTTTGTGAGCCTCCCTCGACAACGCTCCCAGATCTGGCCGTGATGGTGAACTCCGGTAGCCAATTGACCTTAACCCTCTCATCGTAACAATTCACTAATAGTTTCGCTACATGGGCGATAAGTTGTGAAAATTACTGGAGAAATAATCCAGGGGCTGTCAGCTGGGTTTAGTGCTAAGAAGTTACCACTTTAAAAGAAAGGGTGTTCGGGAATGATGTGTCTCCCGGGATGGGTTAAGGTTAAAGTAGTCTGATGAACTTGATTTTATACTGTTATATGTTACCCCAGGTCAAATGCGAGGTTACTGACCCAAGAATTGTTACTTTCCATATGTGACTGTACTATTACTTCAGCCGCTTGTACTTTTATATATCATTTTAAAGCTAATAATAGAGGCTTGGTCACACGGATGCTATCTATTAACATCACCAAATTTGGTAGATTATGGAGGAAATAATCTTTCTATCATCATTTATTATTTATAACGAATCCCGACATTGTTATTAGCGTTAAACAATGGCAACTATGTCTTTGAAAGTGTGGTATTAGTTCCTCCCCTGAAGCGCTGATACATTTTACAAACTTTTCTCATTTCTTTATAACACAAAAGACTATGAAATATTTTGTTTAGGGTGAATTTAATTTGGCAAGAGAAATATTTAACATTTCAAGCTTTTATAGATATAAAAAAAACACTTGTAGTTCACTTGTAGTCATACCACTGGGATCAGAGGGTACAATTTTAGTATGTTTAACGCTTAAAGAGATAGTGGAATATATCAGTTTGGCATAAGAAGTGTCGAAATACAGGAGTGAGAGATATTATTGCCGCTGGACATTGTCAAACGTATTTAAGAGCAAGATACATATTGACGCAAACCAGGATGAAGGTATCTTACTTTGTGTTGTATCCCTTTCACAATGCAGAAAGATTAGTTGTTAGTTGTAAACATAATCCTGTATCACAGCAGAAACAGAAATGAGAAAAGAGATGCCATTATAAGATTGTTACATATTGTTTTGCGGAAAAGTAATACGGGGACTTCCCAATTGACTAGCAGCCTTCGAGGCCGACAACATATATACACATTTTGTTCTTGATTTCATTTCTGTATTGATATTTTCGAGATTGTAGGAGAGGGTGGGTGTGTACGCGCACATGTATTTCGGGATATTCTTCAATCTGTACATTCTAAGTTAATTTTGCATTTCTACTTTGAATTAATTTAAAAACACGCAAATTACTCTGGACCCCCTCCCCCTACCCCCATTTTTTCTTTCACTCTTGAACCCATGGTACAGCTACTTTCTTTTTAAATTCTTTTTAACGACTTTCGCTTATTATGTACAGTTTGAAACAAAGTTCATACACCATGGATATTTCCCCGTTGCTTGACGGTTATCATTTAAGATTCTTTCCCACGTTCAAATAATTTTATTGTATTGTATTTATTTTCCGTCATTTGAAAATACATCAACATATATATATATATATATATACAATTATAAACACACACTTATAAAAAAGGAAGATGGAGGGATGGCCCTACTCAGCGTTGTTAGCATAGCAATGCTGGTTTACAAAGGGGTCCCTATGGACATAAAAAACATGAAAATAAATATTACAAAAGTAATAATGGACAGATGAATAGAAATAAAACACGGTGTAAGAATCAAGTACAACTTTATACTAGTAATCTTTAAAAAAAAATTATATTCATGTATTGTGAGTGCAAGTATGTATATTTTTCAGTCCCAATATTTGTTAGTTAATTCGCCGATCTCCACTGCTTCATGTAGGTTTATTTGGCAAGGTTGTAGTAAATCATATACGTTTTGTGCGAGATTCACACTAATGAACAAACTGGTAACAAATGATACGAGCTCGTGCGTTTCTGCATAATGATATTCCTTATCTTTGATCGACCTTTGATATCTAAAAACCAGAATTTACCGGGCAAGTATTAACATTTTATGAATTTGTGGGCGGGGATGGAAAATATGTGCGAGCATTTGTATGGTATACACGTCATTACCTTTATTCTATTTAAGAATATCATTTTTGATGAAATAAAACACGTAGTAATAATGGACAGATGAATAGAAATAAAACACGGTATAAGGATCAAGTACAACTTTAAACTAGTAATCTTCATTTTTTTTTTAAATAGTTTAAATTATTCCTATCGAAAAAATAAACCCTCCCTATCAAAGATGAGTACGGGAGTGTAGTAAAAATACATCGAGTGTTGAAGAGTTTTTGGTCTCTTGGGGTACCGCAGACCACATGGAAATCACCTTTGTAAACATGAACTTTGGGATTTGTCCAAACATACCGCGACCCCCTCTATCACCACTTACTACACTCTGGGGAAATTGCTCCAAAATATTGGAAGTAATGGGAAGTAAACAGCCGAGGGGGAAAGCCTGGTGGTGTTGAGGTCGCTGAAAACGAAGAAAGTTCAAAATCAATTTCTCATTTTCCTCAGATATCATGCTGAATATGCCCCGAGGTATGTCTGGCATGAGAACAGAAGTACGTCCATTGTAATTAGGATTCATCAAAGATATACTCAGTTGTTTTCATACGCTGCGCGCAATTGGAAACATTTTCAACCAGTTGGATACAAAACGATTTGTTATTTGTTGCTATTCAGACATCCCAAACACCACTTTGAAAAATTGTAGATTTTATTTCTACCATTTACCAATACAATACTGGAAAAAGCCGTCGAAGTTTGCTCACACCGATTTTTTTTTTTTTTTTGGGGGGGGGGGGGGGGGGGGGAGTAGGGCGCATGCGCACTATTCAAAAATCGGTATCTTACCGCAGTTTGCTATTACACTGCACACAAATCTGTGAAATTTCGGCAGGCGTTTAAAAAAAAAAACACTCTCCAGAGATGGATTTTCTGATTTCGATTTTTCAAGCCGGCAAACCCTCGGAATGCCAGAAAAATGTGTGATTTGTGGTTGCAGTGTAAAATGTAGCCATCATAATATTAAAAAATGTCAATACTCTCAAGATCGGGTAATCTCGGACTTAAAGGCCTACTGCACTACTTGTAGCTGCTTGCGCCCTCTATACAACAAACAATGCCTAATCGGTGACCATTGGTCCCCCATGATCCTCTTTTTCTTATGTTAACTGAGAGCTGAGTTGATGAGATAACCACCTGTCCAGTGACCTTGTAGGGCTGTCTAATCCCTCCTGTGATCTATGGTAGATAAGCTTTGATATACATCGAGTTAATGCTAAAAAGTACCTCTTGCGGATTACATTTTGATCTGAAACTGATACTTGTGAGCTGTAGTAAGTTTGTGCTTCATCAATAGTTTATTAATGAGCAGATGATATTGAATGGGAAGAGTTAAGAAGTACTCTATCGTGCTATTGAATGCAGCTGTATGCACTCCCAAAATTGGTTTAGAATTCGGCACATGGTCCAATTACGTGGAATTCGTACTGTGAATTTGTGCAAAAGAAGATTTATGTGTCTCGAATTCGAGTTTCGGAACTATCTTTGTTACGGAGCTCAGGTATCATAAATATATCAATTTATTCGTGGTTAAAGGACAGCTTTCAGCATTGGCAAATCATGAAATACCAAAGGAAAGAAATATTGGCCCCTGTTCGTACCTGTATACAGATATGTGTTAAGTAATTCACTTCGAATATATTGTTTAGGGATTCGAAATATATAATAACGAAAAATCGAAAAATATAATAACATGGACAAATCAGAAGTTAATTTATTCAGTATTCTCTCAGTACTGCATTCAAGGATTCCTTTTAAAAAGGATTATTTAAAAATTATTTATAATTACTTGTATTATACTTAATTATATTCATCACTTTAAATCATTGGGGTTTATCAGGGCTTACCTTAATGTAGGCCTGTGACTTAATTCATCAACATTAAGTTGTCCGGTTGGAAAAAAAACACAAAAACAATCAAACAAACAAAACATCCATGTGACAGGTGACGAACAGATCATTAAAACATGAGAACATTTGTCCCTTTTCCTTTTTGTTGACTTTACAATGACTGTAAAAACGTTTGTGTTTTTTTCATTAGTAAAGTATATGAACATATTATTATGCCTTTTACAGCCTGTGGTAAACTCTTTATGTGTATCCTGGTTTTTAATTTCATTTTAATGATGGTGACCTTTCAGCTAATGATATTTTTATTATTTCTTTTTCCACTTTCACAGGTTTCCGTGGTTGACGTGTGGCTTATTTTTCTTACTTGTACTTATAAGAAAAGTTCATCTTTCAGCAATATACCCCAATAATACTACAGAATGTAAGTATAATTTATTTTTGTTACCATTTGAAATGTAATGAATATTTGGGATATACTTTAAATAATTAATAGTATATTAAAGTTATCTCATTTCCCACTTCTGGTGAGTTATGTCTAGGTTAAGGCACTATTTCAGTTGCGGTGTAAATCGTAGATTTTGTGCTGAGAAGCATATGACATCTCTATGAAGTAATTTGCCTGTAAAGAAGGGACATTTACTACCTGATAAATACAATTGACAAGAAGGCCACTTTGGCATTTCCTGTTCATACATTTCGACTCTTGTTAATGCAATCTGATTTCAGAAACGTCATACTCGATAAACAGGAAACTGACCTATGGACCAAAAACTTGTCTTCTAATTGTTTATGTGTATGTGTAAAAGTACATTACATAATTAGGAAGCAAGTTGCCTGTAAAGAAAGAAATTTAGGTCATTTTAGCTTGAAACACTTTTCAGTCGATTGTTTACTACATGATAGAAACAGTAGTCAACAGGACCATTTTGGCATCTCGTATTAATACATTACTTTCCTAAAATGAAATCTGTTTTCAGAAACCTCACACTCGGCGGAGAGTAAAATTGACCTTACGACCAAACAGTTCAAAATTAAATTCAACCAGCCCGACGAGTGTGTTAACTGACATGTACATCCGAAAGTTACCTCTCTTTTTGTTTTACCCGCGTTCACAATCATGAACTCAAAGCTTTAAAGGTTATTGAACCAGCTGTATTTTTCCTCATCAGTTTTGGATATTGCACTGTAATTAGTTGATCCAATTAAGGAGGCTCCCCTTAATTTATTGGTTGATATATTATGTTTGCCAAACGCTCAATAGCCCAGTAAATCTAAACGATTGAAGGTAGATGTTATTGTTTTAATTATCGATGTCTTCAATTTACCATTGCTATTTCCATAAGAGTTTCTAGAACTTAGAAGCTCTTAATAATTGCTCATGTTAAGAACGTGTCAAACACACGGGACTCTTGTGGTTGTTCGTGGCCCATCTCTTTCACGAAGATTCAAACATATTCAATTTCAGACACACAAACAATCAAAACTTAGTAATTTCAAAGGTTATTGTAGTGATGGTGATATATAAGATTAAATTGGGAGTACATGTATTTATAATACACAGGGTGATATTTTATGGAAGGTCATGATTTTTTTTAGAAAGTTTATGTTCTGTGTTGCGATCTTGTTTACAGCTGCACTCATAACTTTATCCACACATGAAATACTTTATACGAATTTGTGAACACATAGAGAACCCTTTGACCATTTCTCACACAATATTTAAAGAGCTAATCAACAAATTTTTCATCAAAACTAAAAGAGGAAATCAACCCGCAAATTAGATAGATGAAACCTTTCCAACAAGTCTGTGTTTCTGTTGAGAGTCTTCCTTTAAACTAATGAGTCGTAGGCTAGTCAATCAGCAGAGCCGCGAGGGGTGAAACAAATTGCCAATCACGCCCCAGTAAATCCACTCGCCTAGGGGAATCTCTTTTCCCCCCATAATCATACCCGCTAGATTGATTTTCATCGCGGAAATCAAAACTTTCCGTACACAGCAGCGATGGATGGGAATGATGCATTCGGTCGATCCAGACAAAAACTACTTTATATCACAGTTCTGAGTCATAGAAAGTGAAATTAGGTTTAGCATCGTCTGAAAGCAGTCTGGATTCTGATTTGGTCGCAAATACGTTGCAGGAGTCACAAGTAATATTTGCGATTTGATGAATAAATTTAAGTTTCTGTTCCTATCGTAAAAATAGATTCGAAATATGTTTGTCTTATTCCCTACCTCCCTCTTAAAGTAGTTTTATGAATCTATATTACCCTAAACTCTCTTGACGCCAAGGATACATTCTGTCATTATAAAATCTGGACTTGTATTTTGATGTGAGAGACAGAACAAATCCTATTCTCTATTTAAGGTTACGACTTCTTTTTGAGTGAACCCGTGTCATAATTATCCAATTTGAAATCTATTTTCCAGATGAAGCAGCAACAAAATCCCACAAATATGAAACGTTCACGGCGGCTCCTTTCACGGCGGCTCCTGACGTCACAGAAAGTTCATCATCATCCACGAGAAGGAAAGATGTTACCACCAGCTCCCCTTCACCGTCCACGCAGTTGCCAACATCAAATACACCCTACGCTAATGCAACAGAAACGTATTGGGAGGAGTTACCCACAATTGAGGTGGAATTCACCACGGAACTCACTTTTACAGAAACAGTAACAGAAATTGTAGTGGAGGGAGAAGAAAGTTATGATATACGAACTCATGCGCCGGCTTCGGGCGGCTTAAAACAGTATACAGCTAACAGTAATGTATCACTTTCTCAGGGTGTAGATAAAGGCAGGACTTTACAAAATGGTAGTGGGTTGTTCTTGTCGGAGGATGTCCTTAGCACGGACGCCACTCCAACACTCGCAACACGTCGGCCGTCCCTTCCGAAGGATAGCCCCGAGACGTTAATCGCACTCACTGAGGCGGCGTGGGGGCGGTTAGGGTTCACCAGGGAGGCCATGGATTCACCTCTAGGCGAGTTCTTCAAATACTATAGTGTATTCCCGTACGCGGATGAGAAAGGATTCACAAGAACGTGGGTAAGTCAGGTGTATCAGTCGGTAAATGACTGACACCGATGTTGGGAAAAACATGATTCATCACATGTCCGCTACCAACCAATCATTCTATTTGGATCTACATCATCATATTATAAACATTCTTTAAGATTGAGAGATACTTTGATCTTCGCTGTACCATTAAGTAACTCTGAGTTAATGGTGGAGGTTGAAGTCATCTTGAAAGGTTCTTTTCATTATGTATATTATAGTGATATTGTTAGAAAGTGTTCTTAAGTCATAAAATCATCAGTTCATAGCGCACTTCTCTCTGAGAGGACACAAGTCCTAGGAACTTTCAAATCTCATCCCATTTCAGTCATTTCGATATGATTTATGACACATTATCGTAATATCAATCATCACATACATAGATAAAGAGGTAGACCACTCTTGCCTATCATAAACTAGTCATTGAACTTCCCGCCAAGTTTTAGGCTATGACATTTGTGGCTCCCTTAGTACTACTTTGCGTTGATACCCATGCGTGTCCCAACTGTAGGTGAGCACCAACAAAGCTTGGTTACGTGATAATGGAACTGGGGAGCTATTACAATATTGTTAATGTGTCTCAAGTTGATTGACATTGTAAAAGGCTTATGGTACGATTCCAAGGTGGTTAAATTGTTCGTCTGGAGCAGATGAATATGAGGAACGAATCATCAGGCGAAATCATTTTTCCCATTGCGAGCACCAGTAATTTAAAAAGATGGGGAGGAAGGCGGGCGAGCAAATTGTTTGGGGATGGGCAAAGTAATGTAGGCAACCTCTCAAGACTTTTTTTTCAGGAGATAGATAGGTGGGTGCTGTAACAGTATATAACTCGTGTTGAGCCTAATCGCTTCTCCTATCATCACTATTCGATGAATATTTTAATGTCTAATATAAATTGGCAGTTGTTTTTTGTAGTACAATATAAGGAAAAGAACTTGAAAGATGTTTAAGGTTTAAAGGTTTTAAGGTTTCCAAAATGTGTTGTAAAGGTAATACAAAGGGACACTACTAATAAACTGAATTCCTTAAGCGGTACCCATGTTAATTAGCTTACTAGTACACGCCTTTATTCATGAACTTCTGCTCACTTACTATTTATTTCAATGGCACTCCATTGTAATGACACATGTAATGACACTAACTATTTCAATTGTTTTCAGAATATTCGAGGAGACCAAGGTCCAAGAGGGCATCCTGGGAGAAGAGGGCCAATGGTAAGCTCTCATTTTCATACCCCAGTCACGCCCCCAGACTGACTCCAAACCCGCCGATGAACGACATGATCTTGGCCATGTGATGTAATGTAGATTGTGGTCAAGCTAGTGAAGCTCTGGGCCCTTCTTACAGATAGTTGCGATTAATCGCAACTTATTTACGATTTATATCAATCGCAACTATGTACTTAAGAGATAGGAGACTGTTATCTTACGATAGACGTACGATTTTGCAATTGATTCGGATCAATCGCAACTCTTCATAGAGATGGGGCCCCAGGCGTCGATCCTTCGGTGAAACTGGGTGTTACTTATTATTTAAGATTACGCACACATTATATGACAAATGGTCTGACGTATTTAACATAGAAGTTGTTTTTTGTCTCTTTTCTTTTTCTTTTATTCTTGGCAATTCAATCCAAAGCTGAAACGACTACTTCCGAACTCTGTTCTATCAATATCATCGGATCCTGGAAAACTGTTAAATTCGAACTATGCGACATCTTTAATGGCTCAAATACAATAGATCAAACATAATTCACCTAATAAGAAGCTGTTTAAAGAATGTTCTTCACGAACTAAGATCTTGTACACAGATATCTCGGACGAAATCAAATTAAATGCGCCTTCATACCAACCTAATTAGGTCATATTTTTAAAAGCTATTTGTTGATATGAAGCATACTTGGAATCCTGCCTAAAACTTCATAGACGTTTTAGCAACGAAATCTTTCAAGGCCCCATGCTGCCTTTCTAGTGTTTCTATTTTTGAATGTTTTATTTTTGGAAGACGAAATGAACTGGGTCATCATCGTGATACATGAATGCGAGATATTAAAGGTACTATGTCCTACTTGCAGGCCAAATATATGAAAAGGTTAAATTCCAACGGCATTTGAAAGATAATACTAATTTAGAACTTCCCTCAAAACGAAAGGGCTTGAAACTGTAGACAATTGCTCATGTACCGTTTACAGCGCATTTTATGTATGTAATTACCAAACAAACAAAAAGAAGTCAGTCTGTCACTCAATAGAGTGTGACGGTGAAATCTAAAAAGGAAACGGGCTTCCTTGCATAATTTGAATATTTGGACACTGCTAACATAAATTTCACAGATGGGATATACGTGACACGTTCATAATTCCTGCGAAGTTCTACAGAATTTGATGTTGGCTGCATATGGGACATAGTACCTTTAAGTTTTGTCACGATAAGACCCATTATAGAGAACAAGTGAATGGGACTTGTCTCCGGCTACTCATCAATGCATGGAACTTGACGTGTCCATCCCATTCTACCACAGTCTAATCAAACATTTCCTCGCAGATATCTTATCACCTCCCATCTTTCTTCTCTCATTGCTTCACCACAGGGAAGCATGGGGTATTATGGCAACAGGGGACCTCCGGGTGAAAAGGGGAGACAGGTAAGAAGCCTAAGTTTCCGTCCTCAATTAAAGCTTTAAAATCATTTGCATTATGGGCCATTCCCAAACACGTTGTAGTGACACACTACACAACCTTGAAACAGGTAGGTAGTGAAAGTTTTAAGCTCATTAAATAATTTGTGAAGAGGAAGTCCAACTTATTGGAACTTATAGATCTTGGGGGATGAGTCGGAAGGTAAGTGCATATTCCCTCTTCTTAGAAGATGTTTCTAGACTCGTTTATAATCTTAGTATTTTGTTTGTAAAAAGATGTGACACAGGATGGGACATTGCTCTCTTACAGAATTTTCATTTCAACGAATCACACCATATTTATCTCTTTTTTAAAGCAATAGATTAGTGTTACCTGACGTTTGTAATTTTAGATTATATCATGGTATTTTGAAAGGATTTTGGTATTCAAATTCTAGACAAAATGTATTGTATTGCTATTATTTGCGCGCTTGTAATTCTAATTCATATGGTATTTCAAATTGAGTTTCATATTAAAACAAAAAAAATGTCGCACTGTATGATATTACGTTTGATCAATCTTCGATGTTGAATGTTTTCTATAAATTGCATATACCAATAGTCTCATTTACGCTCTCTTTCCAGGGTTCACCGGGCCCAGACGGTGAAACAGGAAGGAGGGGGTATAGGGGTGAAACGGTAAGTTCCTTTTATGGAAATTATTTATGAATTGAACGATGAATAATAAGATACCCAGTTATAGATTGGTAGACTGAATAATCTGTAATCAAACTTACATGGGTAAATCGCTTATGTTGTCAAGTGTTTTGTCATTGAACTTTCTGGGATTTAATAGTATATACCAGCTGATCAACTAAGAATATATATATATATATTTGTTAATGTTTCATTTTGAATTGCCTTTCAAATTTTAATTATAGATATGAATGGGTCCGAAAAATATGACTTCACGACGACCTTTCATGTTCTAATTTCAGAGCGCCTCAATTTATTGTGTGGTTGACGATTTTAATGTTCATGTAATTGACCAAAACACGTCTTGAATTTGTTGAAGAAAGATTAAAAAGTATACTCCAATAATTGCTTCATATAATTAAATACTGTTAATAAGCCATGTTTCCCGCCCCTTTCTCTATGTGTAATATTTTATTTTCTGACTTTGAATAAGATGGTAAGCATGGTATGTAGATATGAACCGGCTTCATGTAATTTTCTTTCTCACAATTTGCAGGGCCCGCTTGGTTATCACGGTAACCACGGTCAACCAGGGTTTCCAGGCATTAAGGTAAATAAATATAACAGTGTCACGTGGCTTCCCCACATATTGAAAATCCATTTTTGTTTACTCCATATTTTGCATCGCATAAATAGATTATTAACAATGCAACATTATTTGAATAGTGTTGGAAACATACTTAATCTACTTATTCAATGTCAAGTCATAAAAGTTATTATTTAGACTTCGATTGACGATGAAATTCAGAATATAGCCCTTAGGACAAATAGGAATAAACGCCAATATTAAGGAGATGCTTTTCTGATGCCGCCTTCGGCTTATGTTCATCTATTCAGAACCTCCAATTTCCTAAACAGTGACTTGTTGAAACGCTTACTATGTTCCCTTAAGAGTGTCAAAAACTTGATTTAATTTGTAAACCCTATCTTGTACACTTATCAAGGAAATTCGCCATGATTGGCACTCGGCTAGAACACGAGGACCTTTATCGTATCCATATGTGAAGTTTGTTTATCTGTCTCTGTCCAAAGGAAATCTTATTGAAGTAGATTTCCACATAGTGGCAGGTTCATCCTATGCTATTGATTGTGATTCACTAATTGTAAAAAACAGCAGCTGCTGTCGAGTCCATCCTCCTAAATAGTAAACATCCTCGTCTCTAATTTAACCGGATTCATGATCAAGTTGATGTGTCACATCATTCGAGGACCAAAGTGTTTCAAAGATCCATTCTTATAAACCAACTAGACATGCATCACCTCCCAACAAGATAGGAGAGAAGGGGGACAGGGGATAGAGAGGCACAGGGATAAAGAGAGAGAGAAAAAGTGAAGAAACAAGTTAACATGTTATTCTTGGCTCACGAGTCCGCCCCTTTATACAACGATAACAAGTCAAAACCGGAGTCCACACCATTTACTAACGGACTTTTAGCCATTAGGGGTAATAAAGTTATTTTGTTCAGTCTATTATCGATTTGATGTTTGTCTCGTCAGTTTGATTTGGGTTATTATTACTTAGAAAAGTTCAGTATTTCTTTTCCTATGATGTTTGGTTAACAATGATGATTTTTTTTTCCAGGGTGAAAGGGGACATCCAGGGATTCATGGCTACAGCCCGAAGGAAGGACCCAAAGTGAGTTTTGACTTTTGTCTTCACTAAAAACGGGGTCATATCTTTAAGTCAATAAAATATACTTATACTTCATCTTTTGCAAATTGAACCAATTTAGAGGTTCATTTGCTTGTCCAATACTATATACAAACAGGAACAGCAAGGAGATTCTAGTCAGAGTGTAAAAAGCATTCTCATCCACAAACCTGAAACAAGTCAGGGAATGAAGCTGAAGGGGCTCTGAGGCACAAAATTATAATGGATGATGCATTGATAAAAATAATACCGGAGATCAGTAACAGCAACAAGCCATTAAAAGTACATCACGTTTTATATTTGTATTATAATATGATGACGTTGATCCTAATCAAATGATTGGTTGAAAGCGTACACGTGACCATTTATTTTGCCTAACGCGCAATTTGGATAATAGCCGGTCATTATCCAATTCTAATGGCCGGTCATTAGTAAAATCATGTTATGAAACATCATTTTGTAAAACAAATAAAACATAATCTAATGAAACAAATAACACACAGCATTTTGTTCGAGCATTAGTAAAATTACCCACACTCGGTACCTTCAAAACATTCCAAACGCCCTCACCTACCGTCGCGGGCGTGTTAGACTGTTCCAAAGGTACCTTGTGTGGGTAATTCTTACTAATGCCCTCACTGCTGTGTATTATTTGTTTACTATATCACCGTCGGTCAGACTTTTTGATCCACCCCCATTTTATTTACTTTATTTGATTTTCCTGTTTTCTTCCTAGGGTCATGCAGGTATCCCAGGCCCACAAGGTCTTCTTGGACCACCAGGGGAAAAGGTAAGTTCACATGAACCACATTCCACCTTAACCCTTACTGTACTGGGCTATTTCGAGCACTCTCTGACTGGGGGGGGGGGGGGGCCTGGGAGGCCCCCCCCCCCTATGATCTCGGTCGTCGAATGTCCGATGAACGCGAAAATGTGCATGTTTGTAGATATTTACGTAAGGAACAAGATGGTATTATTAGTTTTTTCCTAATATGCAAATTTTTGTCGTTATAGCCTTATTAATTATGCAAAATGCTAATTTTATGCATTTTACAGAAAACTCTACATATTTGTCCGTAGACTTGTGAAGAATCTTGAAAATGTATTGAATAAATGTTTCCTTCATCTCAAATTCATGAGGTTTCATTATTTTTATGATATTTGAAAATGCATAGGTTTATTTGCATAAATTATGAATACGCAAATTACGCATTCATGAATATCTAATCTAGAAATATACAGGGAACTAGAATCATTACAAAAATTGTCAGACTCCACTTTTGTAATGTTGAAACTCATTATTCATATGAAACTTCTTTTCTAACAAAAAATAGTTATTTGATGTAATTAATAATGATAATTTATGCAAATTTGATGCGATTTTCAACTATTTATTTTCTTATGTATTTCATTGTTTTTATTTCTTATTATATCTATTGTTTTATTTCTAATGTATTCTTTTGTTCTGAAATACATCAAGTTACTTTGAGAAACATATAAAAGCAATTTGATATCAATTCATATCTTCACATTTCTGCTTGTACATGAATATATGCAATTATAGCACTTTTTTGATGACATGCGTATACTAATTATTATGGAACACCTTACAGGTATATCCGATTTTGACGAAAATGGTATCAAAATGTGCGTAAGACTTGAGGGAAAAAAGTCATGAAACGACAATTCAAAATTCCGAGCGGTTGCGGCGCGATCTCCGAAAACGTCGAGAGCGGGGGGGGGGGGGGCCTCCCAGGCCCCCCCCCCCTCCCCCCAGTACAGTAAGGGTTAAAGAGTATAGATATATCGAAAATCGTCCACCCACATAACAATAAAAAGTAGCATGTCCCCTGAGTTGTTTGTACAAACACGGAAACTTAGCGACGGTAGCGAGTTCTATAACTTATCATTGATTATGTATGACTCCTCTATTAACATCTCTTCTTTTTGCATGGACTCTTCCATTTTAGGAATTTGTTTCGTAATCCTGTGTTATTTTAATCTATTGATGTTTTATACACTAATTCCCTTTACTGTCTTGCCTTAATTACATTGGTTCCCTTCCTTCGTGTATTAGAGTACGTTTTGTATGCTGTCTCTAATGCTGTTTTATTATTTTTTTATTTTTTATATTGATACAAATTATAGCTCTATTCATTTATATTGAAATCGCGCTATGCAGTTTAACAATAATATGATCATGTTGTCTATATACATTAGTATATTCTGTTGAAATACAATGTATCACGTCTGTCATACAGGGTGACATCGGACCGGCAGGAGGTCGAGGAGAAAAGGGCACTCTGGTAAGTACCCACATATTAAAGGCATCATTTAACAATGTTAAATCTGAGATGCACGGCCCTACGTGTTATCAGTGTCTGTGATATGGTGTTATATTGAAGCCCTAACAAATCGAGAAGTGCCTCAAAAAAGTAAAAATCATTGGGTGACGGGTTTTATCATACTCGTTTTCCCCAATAGACTGTAGTTTTTTAAAAACCGTTGGGAAAACGCAAAATTTGGTTTCGATTTGCAATCATAAATATCTTGATGATCAGACAGGCGATCGGCTTGTTAAAGTCATTAGGTTCCTGACTTATCATTGCAGCATGAGCTAACTCCAGGATTTTATTTTAGAATCTGAGACAAAGTTACCGGATCCCTTTAAATATAGGCCTTAGATTGGTAGGGTAGCTTGGTTTGATAGCTGGGTTCGATTGTAATCGCAGAAAGGGTGCGAATTTTTTTTCTTTTTCAATCAATCGTGTTCTCCGTCTTTTATTTGTGTTTGTTATCCTTCTAGACACTTCTTTTCATGAAAAAATTATCTGTTCTCCTTGTATTCTTGAAATATGACTGTTATCAAAAAGCCATTATGAATGTTTTAAATATTCACGGTTGGCCGCAAATAATCTTTTCATGAATCTTTTTGGTCCTCTTTACCAACAAAAAATCCTAGATGTGTAAATAAATCTATCGCAACTACTTCCGAAAATTCAAACTAAGGTAATTTGAATGGCCTTATGCGCCACCTATAGAATCCAGCGAACATAACAATGACGAATGACGTAATCCGACATGAATTCTTTGGAATATAAAGTAGGGTGTTGAAATAGCCCTTGGGTTGATTTTTGTCGAAAATATTTGCGATTGTGTTGATAATGATATGCTCGTGATATTAATTTTTAAAAACTCTATTATTCGTGATGATATGTAATCAAAAGAATCAAATATCTGAGTTATTATATTTCTAAAAATGACTGGTAATTTAGTATAATTGTTGTGATGATGATTAATTTCACAATTACGATTCGAAGGGATTGCGCGGTGAACAAGGACATCCGGGACCTCAAGGTGTAGAAGGACCACAGGTAAGAAACTTGTCCCTATTTATTTCATTTAATCACAGTAATAAAAAATTCTGTTATAAACTAAAATCTGCTTTTAACCATGGCCGCTAAATACATTTCAATACATGAAATCTGAAGAGGAAAAAAGATATACTATAAAGATACAGATAATAGATAATGTATCTGGCAATATATTCCATTTCAAGTGTCATTGATTATTTAATCTTTTCAACAGGCTTCAAGGCTTTTACATTGTCCTGATTATAACAAATGTCCTGACTTTAATTTCCGAACTTGAATACATTTCGGAAATCGCATCTTGCTGTGCCTTACTTGACGTATACAATTATCTTTGAATTTTCATAGGTCTTCAAGATAATTAAAGTAAACGTATCAGCATGATCAGTGAATGACAGTGAGAATTCTTAGTCAAAAGTATCGGCAAGGTGTCGTCTTAAAAAGCTAACTTGTAGTACTTCATCCTTCAATTTGAGTGATCTTCTTTTTTTATTTTCTTTTTAAATTCTTTTGTTCAGGGTATTCATGGAGTCGGGGGATCAACGGGGCCTAAAGGATCATCGGTAAGTCTACCAGTTATATACATATTGAAGCTGTCTGGGACTCTGGGTCCGAGCCCCCACCCCTGGCCAAAAAAAAGTTTTAAAAAAAGATGGTTACGACAGTTGATACCTTTAAAAAAAGTAAACAGGCTCCCACCCCTGGAAAAAAAAAGTATTAAAAAAAAATGGTAATTTACCTTTAAATCATTTTTTTTAAAGGGGGGGGGGGGGGTGAATTTTAGAAAATAGTGCTTTTTAACGCTCACTACCCCCCCCCCCCCCCCCCCCCCCCTCGCTTATGCGCCGCTAAATATTTTCTCACGAATTGGGTCCCTCCGTCGCCGCCGGCTGGATCGCCCCTGCTGCTCATAACATGCACTTTAGATGATATGATATAGGCCTACCCGTATCGCTTTTCTTAATGCATAATAATCAAGAACAGTGCTGGAATCGTATTCCAGAGAGGCATCAGGAACAAGTTATAAGACTCGATTATGGTCATTTTTTCCGTCCAGATTGATGGTCAAATTATTTTCTTTATTCAATTCATATTTGTCTATTTTCCCCTTATTTTGTTATCCCATTGTTCCTTTTCCATATTCTTTCTCAGTTTCTTTTAAAATCCTTTCTTCTTTTCTTTTTCTTTTTTGCAGGGAGATAAAGGCGCCCCAGGACCAGTTGGGCCACCTGGTGAAATCGGCAACGATGTAAGGATCACACGACATTATGTGACAAACTGAAATTCCAATAAAATGGCAATGCGAACCTTTAATATGTTAACAAGTATAAAAGCAGAAAATATTAGAAACAAAAAAGCGAAAGTTGGAAGTAAATCGGACAAATAATAAGAAAGTTATGGACTTTTAAAAGTATTAATCACTGTTTATTAAGGAACTTTAAATTGGCTGAATGGGATTTTTTTATATATTCAAGCACACACAATTTATGACACAGGAAGGTCTTTTCTTTCAAGAGGAACCACAATAATGAACTTACATAATATATTTAAGTTGTACCACGGGGAGAGGAATTAAATATATTTGTGTACACGGCAAGGCATCCGTGAGAGTTACATGAAATACGTAACTACGTCAAAATCCACTGAACAAAAAGATGTAGTATTTTCATATTTCAAATATTCATAGCTCTCTCATTATTGGTCTGATTTATTTCGAAGCTTTCGCAATTCTGTTCCTCTAATTCTTCTGCTTGCATACAAGTGAACTCATTGCAAAAGCTTGGGTTGCCTTTTAAAAGCAAAAATCAAAATACACATACACACTAAAGAATTTAACGACTCTGAAACAGCTATCTATGTATTGATTAAGTCATTGACGGATGAAATATGGAAACTTCTTGCCTAATAGTCAATAGAAAAAGTTAGAGTAATAAATGTATTATTGAATATTTACCAACCTCTCAAACTGCAATATCAATTTCCTTTTCTTTCCTTGATTTTATTCCTCACGTTCTCTACTTCTTTTTCTTGCATTCAATTATAAAAAAAGAGCATCAACTACATATTTCTCGTCTTTGATATTTCTTACAGGGATCGATGGGACCATCCGGTTTGCCTGGACAACGAGGTTTTCAGGTATGTCTTCATATCAAATTAAACATGGGACAAACAAATCAATATGAATTCGTTTTAGATGAATTGTATGCAATGTTTTAGTCTCCTTTCACATTCCTGCTTACTCCCTGCCTGGAAAATAAACTTCCTCTTATCTACAGTTTTACTTTGTTACGTTCAATGTATCATATACGGCCTAATCTCCCTCGTGAGTACTTGGTAATTTCATAACTTTTTAACAATATTGGCGAACGTGTTTCCCAGAGTTATAATGGTGGCATCGATATCTCAAGACGTGATTTATATGACATGAACGTCTTATTTAAATTCTTCATTTACGTTTTAGGGTTTTCCTGGAATTCGAGGTTCACCGGGCAAACCGGGACTGGACGGACAGCCGGTAACTATGCATTTCAAGCAATTTAATAAACTGTTATTATTTGTGGGTATGGTATATAGCGGTACTGTTTTTTAAACTTATATTCTTTTGCAATTTTATAGGAAATATGATGTTCTTCTTAAAATTGTTCAGTAGGAATGACGATCTTCTAATATAATAAATATAATAAATGGCGTAATTTTGTTTGCACTTTATTTTTTTTCTGCACGATCTTTGAGGATAAACATTGACCATTTTGTCTTTCTACTGTGTTATTGTTTTCGTGCTATCATGTACAAAGTTGTATATAGCCAATAGCATCACTCAGCAGTTGAGTATTATATTCCAAAATCATCGATTTCTTTTCTTACAATGTCAGGTACAGATTTTTTTTTTTAAATCTTTTACACAATACGATATATCGGGGGGGGGGGGTGGGGGACTGCTCAAATTAAACAAATATCGATTTTAATCAAGATATCTTCTTTTGAATGACATTGCTTATTTACTGTGAACTCTAACTTTGTCTTCAATTATTTGTCAGGGCATGAACGGTTACCCAGGAAATGTTGGACCGCAAGGTGAAGATGTAAGTCAACAATTAAATCATATATTTATATTTTTCATCTTTTCCTTCCATCGTAACTAAGTAATGAATTAAAGCCTTTGATGGACACATTAATTGTCCACACAAAATCGGAAATTGAGGTGAGTAAAAGTATCAAACTATTTTTTTAAATGTCAATTAAACCATCCCAAACTGGTGGAGGTTGTAGTTAGAGAATCATCTGCTACACCTTACCCTAATATGAATTTCTATGGGTAATATCATACTTGTGTGCTTTTCCTCTCTTCTCCAATACAGGGTGCTATAGGTCCTATAGGAGAATCAGGTCCCATTGGAACACACGGACCTAAGGTAATATAAACTATCCTTTACGCTAACTTGGATCCAATCATGATGATAATTTTTATATAAATCATGAGTTCGAAGTATTTGATCATTTCATGTCCCAAGGATTAAGGAGTATTCTGCGCAAAGATTGACGTCAGATTTCACATGATATAGATTTGGTCTTTCCTAAGCTCTTAACAAGTGATAGTGACTTAATATAATATAATATAATAGCGTACATACCGTACAGGAATACAATGATCAGAGTGTAACATCTTAGATGTGGTCAGTTACAAGTAACATATAAGACAAAATAGCTCAGACTTTTTACTTTTTGATCTCCAATATTTACAATTGTTTTCCCCTTAAAATTACAGCTTCAAATTAAAATAAACTTTGTTAAAATGATACAGTTACAATGTAATATATAACAATTATAGTCAGGTAAAAGTATGTGACTATATATAGTATGTATATTGCTACATGTATAATGATACAAACTGGTGTGTAGAAGTGTATCTGAATACAATATCCATGCCTTTTTAATTGTCTTCCAATCTAATCAGGGACAGCCTGGTGACCAAGGACTCCAGGGGTCAAAAGGTGAAAAGGTGACACGTGATTTAATGCATTGTTATACGTCAGTGTTTTTCAAATTATATATTTCAAACATATTTGTAGCAGACATAAATGCTTACTAAGGGTATATTCCTTAATAGTGTTCTGAAGTACTGCATACAGCAAGGATAGAATCTCGTGTATTTTTTAAACATAACATCAATTATTTGAAAGAATGTATAGGTTGGATGAGGAAGTAAAGAAATTCGCACTCCTCGTCACCCTGTTTTCCACGTTTTCGCATGTAGTCCAACAACATTTGGAGGTGATATTAGACATTTCTCTTTTTCACACCATATATTGCTTTTTTGGAAAATTAAACTGTAATGCCAACCTAAACGGCACCCTGTGCGACCTGGGTGGTGTCATTATTAATAATTCATTTACACCTCAAACCAGGGGGAGAACAGCGCCATGTGGAGGTGACAGGCTACATACTAAATTACGGTTTAATGAGAAACATACTTCAAAATGGAAGTCTCGATCGGATGGACATAAAATAGAAAGAACATCTTTGTATTTGCCATATTTTCACGCATTGTAATATATATTGTAGATGGTGAAAGAGGGATAGAGAAAAGTGTTAAAAGATCCTAAATTCGCTCAGCTCAACCTCAGTATAAATTATAATATCTAAGGTTGTCTGTTTGCCTGAAAAGAGAAATGGTTTACCAAATTACTACGATTGCTATCACAAGAGTTAGAAACTGCCGATTTTCTAGAAAAGCATACTCTATAATATGAAAGGGATCAATTGTGATTTTGATTTTTAATTGTCATCTTCAGATTAGAATAGAAGTGATGGAAACATCTTTTGATTTGTAAAGGAAAATGAAGAAGCAGAGCACCTAAGAGTTTATGAACATTTGGAAAACATTCTCTTGTTCCAAACCACCTGCTTGGTAACGCCTCTATGCCTGAAAAAGGGGGAAATAAAAAAAAATCAAAACATCAAGGAAAGCAGAACGCACAAGAATGTAGTTAACAGTGACACATTTCTTTCTTTGGGAAAAAGATTCGTAACCAATTAAACAATAACACGAATAGATCAAGATGAAATAGAAGTTCCTAACTACATAAAAGTTTAGGCATTTCTAATACTCAAGTGTTCTAGAGGGAATAACCTAACGTCTTGGTTTTTGGTGATCTTTGTCAGGGCAGTCGTGGCAGAAGGGGATCCCAGGGGGACGAAGGCCATCGTGGACCACCGGTAGGTACCTCCAAAATGATTTTCAATGGATTTAGTGGTATTATATATTGCGATGTGTGACGTAAATGTTGTAGAAGAGAGAAAAAACAGATTCGTTCCAAGTAGCATAGGGTGTGTGCGAGCGCCTGAGTGTGTGTGTGTGTGTGTGGGTGCCCGCGCGTGCGGGGGTGTCTAAAGCTAGGTGTGGGTTATCGTGTATTTCTTTCTGCGCGCTTTCACTAACTAATTGTTGATGTTTTGTATGATGTATTTGTTGAATGTATGTTGGTTTGTTTATGGGCCCGCAGGAAGAATGATATTTTGTATATTGATGGGGCTACCCTGTCAAAACTTTATCAAATCAATCAAATCAAATCATGCAAAGCGATGTCTAACTTTAAAATAGAATGAGATCTGTCAGGCTTAGACTATCCGCCATAGGTTTATTTTTATAACTTTACAAGTCGTACATATAGGTCTGGTTATTCCGGTAGTCATTCCATGTAGGTATTGGGTTAGTAAGTGGTACATGCCATACATGTGGCCACTGCTTCACGTAAAACGAGACGGCTGTTTCCTGTGAAGAATTCTCAGAAAGCCCCCTGCTGTGTGTATTAAGGACACCATAAATTGGGCAGTCTGTAAGAGTTATAAATGTGTGGTTTCTGCTACAGCCAAAACACATGTGAATGCTGTGCAACCGGTGGTTGAATTTGAATTTGCAGCATCTTGGTATCAGGTTTCTCGTAAATTGAGTCTCTCCATCCCACCGATGGAAGATAAACCTAACTCTTTGTCTCTTGCAATCCCAATTCAATTCTCGAGGAATGTTTGCGGCTGTGAAATGTAGGGTTATAAGTTCATGTATAAGTAGGACGCTCGTTCGTTTCTGGATTATTCTAATGTGATGTCTTCTGTTTCGAATTAAGAAACTTAAGGGCCCGAATTCACAAAAGGAGGTTTGAGCTCAAACCTTGCTTTGTGAATTCGGGCCAAGGGGTCTTGTAAAAGGTTTGGATTATGTGGAGGATCTACTACGTGTAATAGACCCCCCTTTTTATTATGGACATCATTTACAGCTTCAAAATTTCATAGAATTTCGTAACAATAATGAACAAAATACAAAATATGATTTTTGTTGTTGTTGAAGATTCCAAGTTGAAAATGTCAATGTTTTGATATATTAAAGTACACATAAATAAGTAAAGTCTCTTGAAAGCTATATTTGTTGAGAAAATGTTAGATCGATCTTTTATTAATTTCTGTGAGCATAATAAATATTTTCATTATTTGCTCCTAATACAGGGTGACCTTGGAATGCCGGGACAAGCTGGAGAGACCGGAGATGAAGGAGTAGCTGTAAGTTTCTTTTGTCATCGTCACCATAATATCATCATTATCATTATTATCATTATTATTATTTATATCATCTACATCATATTCATCATTATAATTATAATCATTATTATTATTATTATCATTAATACATGCATAATTATTACTAGTATTAGTAGTATTATCTATTATAAAGTAAGGATATATTGACTCTCAACTTACAAGTCGGAAAAGAGGTTCTGTGCATATTTTGTGAAAGCTGCTGTTATTTTGCTTTCCTACGTAAATAAATCCATTATCGTTACGTAGCAATACAGTGACAGTACGTACATAACTAAATTTACATAATGTGCAACATCTATCAACAAATTTGTAACCATTGACATAAATAAACTGACCTTTTCTAAATATTTCTTCGTGAACACGAACCCGCTTTTACTAAAATATCATACATATTTTCTTGTAAAATCAAAAATCGTTGATGTCATGTTGGCAAGTTCTTTGTATTATTTATATAACAACCATTACAATTTTGCCACAATCAGAGCAAAGTATAACTCACTTTGGTTTGCACTTTTGTATATATTTGTCATGTATTTTATCTTTTGCACAAGCTGCGCCTTGAGCATTTGATTGTCAAGTGGATTTGGCGCCCTATAAATATTATGTATTATTATTATTATTATTATTATTATTATTATTATAGAGAGTGAAAATGTGGGTCTTGGATTTTTGTTCAGTACTTAACGAAGACAGATGTTCAAATTGAATATTAGCAAAATAAGAAGTTCACAATGCAAGACAAATAAGAATCACTCTTGTAACTTTTGTTGTCACATGTTAATGACAGGGTGAAGAAGGCGATGATGGAGTACCAGGGCGTAAGGGTGATCATGGACCAAGGGTAAGCCATCAGGAACCATTAAGAAGGACATTTTTCTCTTGTAAACTTTATATAACAATACTCGTCAAAGACATCTGCCAGTAATAGGAAGAAGTTGATGCACATCTAGTTGTATTTCATATTTTGTGATCTAAGTGTTGATTGCATTTAGTATAACTTTGTAGATATAAGAAATAAAAGGGATTTGACTCGTAGCCCCTCCCATGATGAGATTTCCAATATTTTTCTAATGTGTATTAAGCATCATGTGATGGTGACTCTTACAAATATCAGGGATACTTTACAAAGGTCATGTGACCTGGCATTAGCCAGCAGGTGGCTGTACTTTGTGTACCAAGCGAAACAGGTATGTTTCTATTTTAATTTGTTAAGCAATTTTATGTTGTTCAGATACATATTGACAATATATTATTAGTATACAACACTGATGTTTTATCACCGTTTCACTTTCATCATCGCAAATTGAATACCTTCTTCTATCAGGGACTGATCGGGGAAACCGGTGTTAAAGGTCCTCCTGGTCCACATGGGTCAAAGGTACGTATTTAATATGAGAACATTTCTTAATAACAGCTACATTTTACTCTTGCATCATACAGCTGGCAGAGATGCTCTATAGAAATATAAAATAAAAACAGTAGAAAAGGGTAATATTATTCTAACCAAAGTTAGGTAACTATTATGTTTTAGAATTACTCATTTTTTCTCTCATAGTTGCCCACTCTGATTTGTATTCCAGCATGCTTCTGATAATTTCCTATATACTTGCTGCTTTGCTTTTATATGGACTAGCTTCCCAATGCTATTGCATTAGGGGTTTGCAGCTAGAATTTCTTTTAACAATAATGATGCTGTGGGAAGAATAAGAACTAGATGATAACATAGTAAACATCAATTGTGTTATTTGTATTGCGCTCATGTCCGTCACGCTGTGCTGAATATGGCTCTGGCATATTGGGTATCAATTAACACCTTTGTGGAGAGTGGCAAATGCCGAATGTCTTGCCAAAGGTCTTTAGTGACAGAATAGGATTGGGCGCCTCATTCTCCTGATTGAGAGTCAAGTGAATGATTAACTATATATACCCTGACAATCTCCATTTCCCTTTCTTTTATCCTATGTAGGGTCCTCGTGGTGCAAACGGACCAAGGGGCGAATTAGGACCAAAGGGGCAGACGGTGAGTATAAACTTCAGTCTTCCTTTTGACTAGAAGTCTAAAGGCTTATGGTATTATAATATTAAATATTCATACCAATTCAGTTTTGTTCTCAAGTTTTTCTTCTAAAAAAAGTACAGGTGTATTTAGTTTTGAATAATCCTTTTGCAATTTATTTAACGTGTTCATGTATTTCCTTCCTAGGGAGACCAAGGGCGACCCGGTGGACACGGTCATAGAGGTCCTGAGGTAAATGTTCCTCGTCTGTATGTCAACTTGTATTATTGAATTTAAAATTGTTAGTACCACATCACCCCAGAATCTTAAAATCATATGCACTTGAAGTCTGCGCTATCGGACGACTGCCCGCAGACTCCTTTACAGTACAATAATGTTTAGACGATGAAGGATACACATTATCTTGAAGAAGAAGATGAAGGAGGAAGAGAAGAAGAAAATATCTTGTTAATGTGCGATTATTATCTATTTTATTCGAATTTCTATAGGGTAACAATTTTGTTTCATTTGTCACGAGTATTGACGTCATCATCATGTATGTATTCAGTTTGAAATTATTTTACAAAAGGATTACGATCACAACACAACATCCTACGTGTAGGATTAACGTAGTCTCTTTAGGGGATATTTTGGACCTTTTGGAACATTAAGATGAAAATTGATTCATAGGAAAAGCTCAAAAACTTTTCAAGGAGAGAAAGCGACAACCCCGAAACGCAGAATAACATTGTAGTGAGGTATGCGAAAGGTATTCTAAATTAAAACTTTATATAAACAACTCAATTCTAACATAACACATTTTTGGGTCACGGAATCCAGTTAAACCTCTCAGAAAAACGACACCCTAATGTTAAGGGGTCACTAAATTACAAATTCATGTTGACGTCTGTTGATCTGTAATACTAGTTACATCATATATCTTTTGACATTTTGATGTAAATTTATGTCATACATTTTATATTATTTTTCTTTTACTTCTGTTCTACCTGCTAATTTCCACCCCTAAAAAAAACCTCCAGAAGAAAATGAATTTTGTGACATCATCATGCCAGTCATTCATCAGTCAGCTAGATGAACAAACTGACCACCTGTTCACGAAAGGCAGTGGTATGTCCTCATCCTCTGAGTACCTTATGCATTAGCATTGCATTTTTTCATATAATAGCCCATTGAAACCCTTCTTTTCATGGTGTTGCTTGGGGATTTCTGACATAGCAACTGCTTAAAATGTAATTGAATGTTGTGAGTGGGCATTGTTTAAAAACATGCAATGCTATTGTGAACAGGCGGTCAGTTGATGGGAATGGACATACCAATGTGTTTTGTTCATCTAGCTGACTGATGAATGACTGGCATGATGATGTCACAAAATTCATTTTCTTCTGGAGGTTTTTTTTTAGGGGTGGAAATTAGCAGGTAGAACAAAAGCAATAGAAAAAATAATATTTAAATTTTGTACATAAATGTACATCAAAAAGTCTAAAGATATGTGATGATACAGTATTACAGATCAACAAAAGTCAACATGAATTTGTAATTTAGTGACCCTTTAATGACCCAGGTACTGTAGGCTCAGTATTCACTTAAGACTGACACAATTATTCACTATTTGGATGTAATCGCGTTTATCATCTTATATTACATAAATTGTAATGCTCTCGATCGTTTACTCGAACATAAAATGATTTTGATGATGTTCCAGGGTTCAAAGGGTAAAGACGGCAGACGAGGAAAGAAAGGAGACGAAGGCGATCAGGTAAAAAAAAAAAAATAGTTTAGCCCACAACACTCGTCTAATCCACCTGACAATATAAATATATAAACAAATTATCAAATGTATCGCTCATAAAAAGATCAAAATGATTTCTGTATATATTTAAACATGGATACGCTTGTGATATAGTTATGGCGATGAATTTCGTACTTAATAATTTGCATTTCTTCTGGTACTGCCATTGTTTAAGTCAGTTGACTGGAAATTCGTGAAATTTTACTTTATTGCTAATCTGCTTTATTTTATTTATTCGCAATTTATGAGCTCATGTTTGAAAATTAATTCACAGTGAAGGATGATTATTATATTTTAATATTTGTTATGGTTTTCATGTTGAATAATTATCAAATTATTCATGCTTAACATTGCTTATTGTACATTGTCTGTTTGATGTAAAGGGTGGAAAAGGAGAACACGGAATACCTGGGGTATCAGGTGAAAAGGTAAGACATTTTGTCATATTTTAGCTCGGAATAATTTCATAACTTCGCTTATTTCCAAGAAATCATAGCCTGCTTTTGTGTGTGTATTACATCTTGTTGCAGAACGTTTAAACTATACTCCTTTAACTATTTAATGTACGTGGATTCAATAGATGTCATCAAGTTAAAGTTTAATCAGTTTCTATGTGTGACATTCTTATCCCATTAAGTGCTTAATGCACAAAGTCTAAAACGTATCTTGTGCATGAATAAAATATAATGGTCTGTACTTCTAACTTTCAGGGTGCTGTTGGGCCGCCAGGGAGAATTGGAACCACCGGACCAGTTGGCCCTGCTGTAAGTTTAAATTGATTTCCTTCAAATTCGCAAAGTTAAATCGTATTTTCTGTATTAGAATGACTTTCCTCACATTTACGTTTCATGTGTTTCGCGAGCTTACGGATTTACATAATACATGACACACGAGAAGTGTAGTGTATCCTTACAGAATCGCTTGTTGCAATAATTAATTTTGTTTTTATTCTGGCAGGGAGATGGCGGTATACCAGGTAGAAATGGACCACCAGGACTCAAAGGACACCAGGTCAGTCATCTTACATTCCCACTAGAATTGATATTATTCTAGGTTGTTTGTCGAATAAGAGGGTTGGGCAATATAAACAAAATAATGGGACAATTTTGAACTTGACATCCCACGGGACATTGCAAATAAACAATATTATACGGTACGGTATTTCCTACCCGTTTTCTTCTGTCAGAACTTTCTTTTTACCCAATCTGTGTATACAATTCATTTTTGCAAAGTGTTACTGACAGCTTGCTCCACCTGTCTTCCCACTTTTCTAACTAAGAACAGATCACAGATCACACAACACACACACACACACACAAGATGGTTAGATTTCAGGAAACAGCATTGTTCAAGCTCCGTTTTCAGCTCCCTTCTATACCGAAAACTTACTCAACTCGTCCACAGGACGAGTACGTACAGTGTATCACACATCACACAAAGTTAATGCGTGATGTTAAAGAATTAAATGAATTAATAATAAAGAATAAATATATGTATATATATGATTTTTACATTTCTGTAACCATTCTCTTTTTCCCAGGGATTCGATGGGTCACCAGGATCACCAGGCCCACCAGGACCAATGGGACCAGAGGTAATATCACAATCTATCAAAAATTTATGATTAGGGGCTTATCTGTGACTACTAGTTGACATAGTAATCAGGGGCGTCGCCAAAGGGGGGGTGTGGGGGGGTGCGACACCCCCCCCCCCCACCTGTCAGGATATTGTCGGTAAAATTGCGCTGCCGTCGGGAAAAAGAGAAAAGGGGGAGGGAAAAAAAGAGAGGGAAAAAAGAGAGGGAAAAAAAGAGAGGGAAAAAAAAGAGAGGGAAAAAAGAGAGGGAAAAGGAAAGAAAAGAAAAAAAGAAAAGGAAAAGAAAAGAAAGAAAGGAAAAGAAAGGAAAGAAAGAAAAAGAAAGGAAAGAAAAGAGAAGAAAAAAGAGTAAAAGGGAAACAAAAGAAACGGGGGATGAAGAAAGGAGAGAGAGGGGAGGTAAGAGTCTGAGAGAGGAGGAGTGGGAGTAAAAGAGAGAAGGGGGTTGTTGGGTGGAGTCGTCTCGTCGAGAGAGCAAGAAAGACACGGGTAAATATGTTGCTGTGTCGGGTCAGCTGTGTCGGTATTCTTCCTCGATCCTCGTGTACTATATCAATGCAGAAGTTTGAAGTCGGTGAGAGGTATATTGTCGGTCGCCGACAAGTTTTTTTTCCCTACGAACTGTGACTTCTTATCAGCTGTGACGACTTCGAGAGTGACTACAACTACAATACTTGTATTTTCTCGAAGTTTCACTTTCCTATAATGTCAGCTAAAGAAATCAGAGGTTTAACATTTTCGGGGAAACTAAATTCAAACAAGGTTTAAGAGTCAACAACGGTACGACGAATCGTCTTCCTTTCTTTATATTGTGATGAAACGCCAAAAATCCGCGCTTCGCGCGGAAGGGGGAACTTCATTTAGACGAGTCGAGAACGGTACAACGAATCGTCTTCTTTCTCTAATAATTTAAGGAAACGTCAAAGCTTCCGCGCTTCGCGCGAGAGTGGGAAACTGAATTTAGTCAAAATTAATAGGGCGTATTTAGAGTCGAAAACGGTACAACGAATCGTGTTCTTTCTCTAATAATATGAGGAAACGTCAAAGCTTTCGCGCGAGAGGGGGGAACTGAATTCAGATGAATAGGGCTTAATAAGAGTCGAAAACGGTACGATGAATCGTCTTCCTTTCTCTATATTGTGATGAAACGCCAAAAATTCCGCGCTTCGCGCGGAAGGAGAAAACTTCATTTAGACGAGTCGAGAATGGTACAACGAATCGTCTTCTTTCTCTAATAATTTAAGGAAACGTCAAAGCTTCCGCGCTTTGCGCTAGAGGGGGAAACTGAATTTAGACAAAATTAATAGGGCTTCTTTAGAGACGAAAACGGTACAACGAATCGTGTTCTTTCTCTAAAAATATGAGGAAACGTCAAAGCTTTCGCGCGAGAGGGGGAAACTGAATTCAGATGAATAGGGCTTAATAACAGTCGAAAACGGTACAATGAATCGTCTTCCTTTCTCTATATAGTGATGAAACGCCAAAAATTCCGCGCTTCGCGCGGAAGGAGAAAACTTCATTTAGACGAGTCGAGAACGGTACAACGAATCGTCTTCTTTCTCTAATAATTTAAGGAAACGTCAAAGCTTCCGCGCTTTGCGCGAGAGGGGGAAACTGAATTCAGACAAATTTAATAGGACATATTTAGAGTTGAAAACGGTACAACGAATCGTGTTCTTTCTCTAATAATTTAAGGAAACGTCAAAGCTTCCGCGCTTCGCGCGAGAGGGGGAAACTGAATTCAGATGAATAGGGCTTATTAAGAGTCGAAAACGGTACGACGAATCGTCTTCTTTCTCTAATAATTTAATGAAACGTCAAAACTTCCGCGCTTCGCGCGGGAGGGGGAAGCTTCATTCAGACAAAGATAAAGAATCGAGAACAGTACACCGAATCGTCTTCTTTCTCTAATAATTTAATGAAACGTCAAAACTTCCGCGCTTCGCGCGGGAGGGGAAGCTTCATTCAGATAAGGATTAAGAGTCGAGAACGGTTCACCGAATCGCCTGCTTTTTCTCATAATTTAATGAAACGTCAAAGCTTCCGCGCTTTGCGCGGGAGGGGGGGGAACTGAATTCAGAAAAGGACAAACAGTCGAGAACGGTACAGCAAATCGTCTTCTTTTTTATTATAATTTAATGAAACGTCAAAGCTTTCGCGCTTCGCGCGGGAGGGGGGAACTTCATTCAGCCAAGGATTACCAGTCGAAAACGGTACAATTAATCGTCTTCTTTTCCTAATAATTTAAGGAAACGTCTAAGCGTCCGCGCTTCGCGCGGGGGGCCCATCACCCACACCCCCCTAATGAGCGCGCTTTTAGGTGATTCTCTTGCTCACTACCGCCCCTCCCTAAAATAAAATCCTAGCTCCGCGCCTGCATTAAAATATATAGCTATGATGCTGACTAAATTGAAGAAATAATTCGTATATTTATGTCGCCGAGGAAAATGACCATTTTGCGCATATGCAAGTACTATAGATAGTCCATAGGGAAAAACAATTTAGCCTTCGGTCCCAGGTTTATAGGGTTGAATTTGTAGATATTCGACATTTAATTTTGTCGGTAATTGGGGGCTAGTTTTGTCGGTAATCGTTGGCCTCTACACCCCCCCCCCCCCCCCCCCCACTGAAAAAGGTCTAGCGACGCCCCTGATAGTAATAGTCCACTGGCAACCCCGTGACTTTAACCAAAAGATGCATTCGTTTATGTCTTAAATCCAAATTTTGCTTGATGTTATAATTAATAGAACTTGATGGTGGAAAGATGATGTTGAACGGTGTTGAAAGATCTCCGTAGTATGTAACTACAATTACTCAATGTCGTACACTTTAGTATTAAAGTAGTCGCCCTGAATTATGTTTCATGGAATTGAGTCGTCATCCTACAAATAAGTTGTTAGTCTGCTCTAATAATTACACTAAAATTAGTTTACAAAAGTTAGATCGTCGAACTAAGTATACTCGTCAGTGAGGCTTGAATTTTCACCTTGAATCAATCAAAACGGGGGTCTTGAATTTAATCGTCTTTCTGAGATAATTAGTCAGTTAACTATTTTCCAATCCTGCAGGGTAACACAGGACAGAAAGGAAGACCAGGACAAGCTGGAGATCCAGGCGCAGTGGTAAGTTTCTTGTCCAATTTCTAGTACCTCCCCCCCCCCCTAAAAAATAGGCAACCAAGGAGTGATAAGATAAAGCCTAAAATTAGGATAAATCGTCACAATCCCGTAAATGGTCCGAAGTGTCGATTCTTCAATAATTAGTTTTTCTCACTTTACGTTTTGTAGATATTATTTATAGTAATATTGGTTCTAATAATTTCTAAAATGATGACTGTAATTATAACTGTTTGACTCAATACTTTTTTTCAGGGGATTCAAGGGCATGGAGGTGAAAATGGACCGACTGGACTCCCAGGGCGAAAGGTATGTATGCCATATATCTTTGAATGATGATAAAGTGATGCTTTTCCAGAAATGCACGAACTACGTGTGATTTTATAGCTGTGATTGGCGACAGCATACCTTTTTGTGAAACTTGATGCATCGGTTTGTATTGTTTCCACTGTTATGAAACCAAGTTGTTGAGAAATTATTCAGAGAAGATGTCTTCTTTTCTATCCTCTCAAAGCTAAACCCACCGGGTCAAGCTTGTAGACTAATTATTAATATTCGGAAGATTGTTGTATTGTCTGTGCTATTGTCTCGCGTTATACAATTTAGATGCAAATATATCATTGTTGATTTCCTCTCTTTGAATGTGAGGTAAACGCTTGTTTAGTGTAGACAAAGAGGCGAGGCATGATTATTAAAGTAACGCACGTGTTTCTACGATCCTCTTAATTATAAAAGTTAGATTTATTTCTTATATTATTCCTGAACAGGGTTCGACTGGTGAACCCGGACTATTGGGACCTGCGGGTGAACAGGTATGTATACTTTTATCTCTTCTTAGGTCGGTTAACAGATGTGTGGTTCATCTTTTGCGTGAAGTAAAATTTCATATAGTCATCACATTGAACACTGATGTGAAGACAAAAACTCGTTCGTGGGTTAAAGTTATATTTTTAGAATACAGTATCACTTTAATCTAATTTACTAAAATGTTTTGCCTCGGTATGATGTACGTGCTGAGTAGATGTGTAACTGCCGATTCATTTGGAATCTTTTTCACTTGATATTATATACACGATAATCGTTTATATTATGACAAATTTTACTCAATGTTCGACTTGTAAACGCACATACTTTCGAGACATCAACTGAAGCCTATTGTATACTCCATATAAATCATGTTCGAGTTACGTAATACGTCATGGCGAGGTCCGCACATTTCAATAGCTGGTGGACAAGATTATTGACATCGCCATTCGCCAATAGAGGGATTGTTATAGGTGGAAAGTCTTTGCTTGATCTTTTAAAATGTATGACAGAGAATCGTTTGATGTTTTATATTCTTACAGGGTGGACGTGGACAGAAAGGAACGACAGGGGAAAAAGGATCAGTCGTAAGTTTACCTAGTGATTTCTAGAATTAAGACGAGAAATGAATTTCAGTTATTTTGAACGGTATCGTATGTATTATGAATCAGACATTCAAGTAATGACCCCCCCCCCTCAAAATTTTTTATATATATATATATATATATATATATATATATATATCTATATATATATCTTTGAATTACTAACCTTTCGGTTACATTCGACTGTTATGTTAGATTTTGTAAAGTGATATCATGTATAGTTGCACTTTCCTAAACATAGACATGAAAGAGTCTGAAAGTGCTTTATTTTTTCCAGATCTGTAAACTAACACTATAGTCATATTTATAATAGAGTATTTCATCATAATTATGAAACGTTTGCCGTATCAAATGATGTTGATTTTTACCAGATACGGTCTTAAATAGTATTCGCCATGATGAATAATCGACATAATTTAATATCATATCTTGAAGGCTTTAGAGATATTATTGAATTTAGAAGAAAACATTTTACCTGGACCAACCAATGTAACATACTTCATAAGTGATTTTTTTTCTATATTTGATCACAGGGCAAGCGAGGTATCGATGGTGCACTCGGAGATGAAGGACCTGCAGGGGGAGAGGTTAGTATGAACTGTTTTTAGAGCCAAGATTAGTCTTTGTTTTCCGGCTAAGAATCTAAACAGAGAGGCTTTGTACCTTTTTAAACTTTTTCATCGGTGATTCGTTTCATTTTTACGTGGAGACATGCGTTATTCTGAAAAAAACTTGATGAGAACTAAACTTTAAGGAAAAGTCTTTTTTGATAACTTCGAAATGAACGGGAATATACTAAACACCCCACATTGGTATCGTGTAAATGCTTTAATGAACATTGTTTGTATTAACTTATTATATGTTGTTATCTTTTCTTTCTTGCCCAGGGTATCGATGGGTTACCAGGCCCACCCGGATCTCACGGGAAAATAGGTTTAATGGTAAGACATCACTGTCTTTAATAGAAAAATATTGATAAATCTGTTTAAGATTCGTTTGTACCTATGTGTACACGAGTGACGAGTCTACTTCATTTGATTCTATAGTTATGAATAGTGTATATTTGCTAGTTTATCGAGGAATTAAGAAAGTGCCACTGTGCTGCTATGATATCACATTTAAAATTTAAAGTTAAAACCAGGATCAACTACTGTTCTGGGATTTGTTCTGACATTTAAGATACACAAATAATGTGTGACATCAGTGAATTATACCAAAGTAAATACATCGGATTGTTTTCCCCATATTGTAAGAATCTGTTGCTACTGCTAATTTAAATGAAAACATTCTTTTCTTTTGCAAAATTGCACACAATATTGAACACTTCATTCCCATAGTACTTTTTCTGCAATATATACTGATTTAATTATTGTACAGCTCGAGAGTCCTCAATTGATGTAATTGTAATGATGTATTCTTATTGTTATTGTTTATATGTCGTTTTTGCAATATTCAGTGATGATGATATTTCAACTTATTTTACTTATTTATGTACTCGTTACTGCTATTTTATTATGTATACTTGATTTAAATTTTATATTTTACCCAAGACAGTCGTCAGTCTTCGGAATGTTTGTTTTTTGGTTTTTCATGTGTTTTGATTTCAATAAATCCTATATATATATATATATATACTCGCTATTACTTGCTCATAATTTTTTACAGGGACTACCAGGTATACCAGGGTATTTCGGCCAGTCGGGAGGAAAGGGAGAAAAGGTATGTAAAGGCTTCTCGATTATCTTACTTATTAAGTTATTATTAAAGTTGGAATGAATCATTTGTACATGATCATTGAGAAACAGAGTAGATTTCTGGTGCATTTTCAATATGTAGTCACGTATTACTATCATTATAGTAATCATACACGTACAATAATTATCATTATCCTATGATCCATAGTATACATGTATATATATTGAGAGAGAAAGAGAGAATATTTAGATTCGTTTAACCACCACAAATAGCATTTATTTATAAACTATCGATTTTGATGTATTTTCTTTTAAATTGTCTTTTGTTTTCAGGGTGAGAAAGGAAAAGTCGGATCTGATGGACGAGATGGCGATCGAGGATCAAGGGTACGGTTTGAATATTTAAAACTCATTTGTTTCTTCAAAGTTTGCTTCGATCATACTGTAAGGTGAAAGCAAATTAGTTTGTCATCTAAATGCCAACATCAGAATGAATATTTAACAACTTATATGTTTCTTAAACTCAGTTACTGTGAGCTATTAATATTGTGCTGAAATCATATACTGCACAACCTTGCCATCTTGCCAATCGTATGCATTGTAAGCTTTTTATACTTTGCGATTTGACGTCCAGGTCAGCCTAGTCATTGATTTTTTTAGGTATACAGCTTGTGAAACTTTCCAAACATCACTACATGTCTACGCTCCTTCTCTAAAATAGCTAGATTTTTAAATATAAATGGGAGACACTATTTGCCAAGTTTTATTTCTTCTCCCAAATAGTGTATTTCTACATATTCACTTTACTTCTCCTTTCCTTCTGTATCTTGTCAAATCATTTGCACAAAGTTTGCAGTGTCCCTAATTCTGACTTGTATGTTTGTATCCTCTTTTTTTCCTTCTTTTTTGTTTATCCACAGGGAACAAGAGGACCGCATGGGGAATTGGGCAAACAAGGATCAGCAGGAAACAAGGTAGTTAACTGAATCACTTAAAGCCCATCTAAATTTTTGGAGCCCCAAACGTTTGATGGCAAAATTTCACCTTAATTGTATCATGATGTAAAGGAGAGTGTCATTTAAAATACATTTCTGCAAGGATTTTCAAAACAAATGTGTTTGAAGTCGAATATTGATAAAAGAATACAAAATTATACAAAAATACAACAGAAAACCCAAGTTATATATTCTTGTATCAATATTCGTCTTCAAACACATTTTTTAGGGGGAATCTTTGCAAAAGATTTCTCAAATGATATCCTCTTTTTTTGGTGCTCATTTAAAGAGTGAATGTATTTGTTCATTTTCTTGGCGGATACTTTTGTGGCAATATAGTTAAGGTCGTATTTTTTCAAAACCCTATTTTGCAGTACTGAAATTATGAACAAAGATAACATTTTGTATGTTCAACCCTATCTTTAAGGAGGACAATGCACTTGTAATAACTTAATTAAATATGAAACATTTCATAAGATCCGTTGTATCTAAACGGTCGCTGATGCTATTTGATACATTTTAGTATTAGAACTTGGTTTTGTTTTTTCTAACAGGGTTTACCTGGCATACAAGGTCTTCAGGCAGACAGGGGGGACTCTGGAGACAGTGTAAGTGATCGGTGTGTAGCATAGTTTTACTGTTTAGTTGTCAGTGTAGTCGTCAGTCATTGAGTATATTTGTATGTCCGTCAGTCCGTCACAAAGTTTTGAAATGATCATTACTTTGGGAGTTAGGAGGTGAATTGTGCATGATTTGTTATCTATTCAGTAGGTTTGGGAAATGGATTATATTTAATGGCGTGTGTTTGGCTAGAAGTACAGGAATGATTAGCCTTATCTTACTTTTCTTAATCAATGTACAGCGGAAAGAAATGCATTTATGTCATGTGTTTTTACTCCAATAAAATTGTGTTATTATTGTGTTGTCATGCAGTTATAGTTCTTGTTAAAATTGTCATTGGTGATTTCAGTCTCATTGTATATGTACGAATCTTTTTCTTCTCATTTCTGTCAGCGGACCATTTCCTTTATACATATTTTGCATTGCTGCCAAAATGATTATTGATCAGCTAGATAAAGACATTGTTGTTACCATTTCAGTCGTAATCTGTATCATGGATTCTGCACAGGCCACTCATTATATTCTAAAGCATAAATCTTCGGGCACCGCACGCTAAAGATATTTTTTCAAAAAAAGATAAAAATGCTCGGTGAAATTGTAGATAGGAATGTTCTAAGAGGATTCCTTTTTTAGTGTATTTGAGAGATAGATCAAAGGTAATCTCGAGCTCTGGTTTAGGAATCGTTTGTCGAGAGAACATAGCTATAATTTATTCTTGATTTGTTTTTGCTGCAGTAGATTGATTGTTTGAACCAGTAAAATAAAAACTACCTCACAAAAACTTGTTGGAAATTATCTTCAATAACAACCACAACTCTCCTTTGCACATAGTGACCTGTGGTAAGCCTCCTTACAATGATTTCCTTATATTTCTACACTTATTACTCAGCCCCTATATATTTCCCACAAAAATAGTTTGGCAGTGTACGTTTTGTTGGATTCTGTGAGAATTTTCTTCTTCTATCATTACCAGAACTAAAGCATGTCTTTAATAGATGCCTCTCTATTCATGTCTCTCCCAACAGGGACCGACTGGAAGCTATGGGGTAACCGGTGAGAAAGGGATGCCAGGATTCAAGGGAGAATCGGGGATAGTCGGAAAACCAGGACATAACGGATATTCAGGTGATAAGGTAAGCGGGCACAGCGTGATTTCCTTTTTTCTTTATACTTAAGTGTTTGATGTTAATATTTTTTAAAGAAAGACTAAATGTACAGCTTGTAATCATATGTCTTTACAACTCCATCGTTCTATTCGAGTATCACTGGTTTGTATACACTAACGCCACAGATGTGTGACAAATTACAGGGGATTATTAAAAGCTTTGCAAATCACTCGAACAAAAAGCAAGATATGAAGCAACACAAACAACATAATATATATGTGAGAAAAACAATTTTGAAACTCGTGAAGAAGATTGTCCTGATTTGCAATGTTTTCACGGCAAATCCTGTCTTCTTACAATTCATAAGCAGTCTAAGGAACACTGGTTTTTTTTAAAGTACGAGCCTACCGCAGCATTAGAAAGTGTGTTAGGTTTTGTAGTATTCGTTCTTAGATATAAAGATATTGGGCCGTATGCATAAAAAGTATCAATTGCTTGCAAGCAATTGCTTCAAGCACAAGCAATTCTCGCTACCCTAAATAGGTACGAAAATCTCGAAATTCGCGAGACGAGGTAATTTTCACTCTCTCGGGTCGTCACTACAACTTCCGGTATAGAGTCCCATCCCGCTGGCGCTAGCGCCTGTGTTCGCTGTGCAGAGTTTTCACGCACGCTAAAATCGATGCCAATCAGTGTAATTTGTACAGATTATAATATGCAATGGAAAGCTTCGGGCAGAATTAGTGACTTAAGCACAAAAGGCCGTTAAACTCTACCGTGAAAGAGAGGGTTGTGATCACGAACGCCTGCACAGGAAGCTGTAATGTCGAAAAGCTATCCCATAATGCAATGCGCGTTTTCAGGATTTTCCCCGGATCTCGGCAGAATCGCTATTTGGGGTAGCGAGAATTGTTTGTCAAGCAAAAGATCAAGCTCAAGCAATAAGCCAGTTCACGGTTGCAGTCTGAGCATGAGCAGATCAAGGTCATTGCAGAACAAATTTTGAAATACACGGAGACGGAATACTGGATACGTGCTCATGAAAGTTATGTAATCGTTATTCATTCTTGCACATTCAGTGCAATCCATGATACACAGGTGGAAGTATTCTTTGAAAAGGGGAAACAAAGACTAGCACCTCCATCGCTGTAGGAGTGATTATTCCAAAATGTAAAAAGTGGGACCTCTTCATGTTTTGAAGATCTGTGGATATTCGGGGTCATTGCAGTAATGTGCTAACCGTGAACTGGTCTATTGCTTAAATCCGTATGCATAACATTTTGCTTGTGCTTAAACCTTTTGCTTGCCTCCAGCAAGCAATTGCTTACGATCTCAACAATAGCGACGTCACGCCGGTGCGAACATCATTCATGGGAGAACAAAGGCGGGTTTCGCATACTAGTAGTGTATTCAAATGTCATGCGTGTGGGGTAGCCTTTCCTGACATGGCAGTATAACATCCTCCCCGTTTTTCATCATGTTCAGGTATGAACCTGTGTGCTAACCACTCAACGTTCTCTTTGTCGAAACGGAATAGTTTCCGATAGGTCTCGGGAGCAATTTCTTCTCGATTTATTCTACTCCTGTACAACTTTGGTTTTTCTCTTACGAGCATAAACATGATGCTTAACCGCGAACGTCCCGTTTAAGCAAGAGCTCAAGCTGCTATGACGGAGCTTGAAAAAACGTAAGCAATTGCTTATAAGAACAAGCAAAAGGTTCGTTTTATGCATACGTTTTTAAGCAATTGCTTGATCTTTAAGCAATTGCTTGCGGACATCAAGCAATTGCTTGTGCTTGCTAGCAAAAGCATTTGCTTGCAAGCAATTGCTTATGTTTATGCATACGGCCCAATATCATTCGAAGATTTACATATATGTTAAACATAATACAATGAACATGACTTGAATCATATCATAGAGATATCCCGTTCCGCAAAAAATGTTCATGTATATGTTTCTTACCTTGATTTTTCAAATGATCTTGAGCTATACTTGATTTTCCTTGTTCTTCTCAGGGAGCAACAGGCGAGAGAGGGCGGAAAGGTGATCCAGGATATCGGGGAAATCAAGGTCCTATTGGTCGGCAAGGCATCAACGGGGAAAGGGGAGACAGTGGCCCTGCAGTAAGATATCATGTGGAATTATTTTGAAAATATTTGTGTGATTCCGGTGACTGAGCACTTTGGATAGGTTCAGGCCCGTAGTCACGGGGGTGGGGGGGGGGCATGGGGTTCCCCCCCCCCCCAAAAAAAAATCCAAGATTGGTTGAACTTTTTTTTAGACCCTTCCCCAGGACGTCGATCAATTACATGTATGTGCCCCCCCCCAAAAAAAAACAAAAAAACAAAAACATCAAACTCTGGCTACAGGCCTGGATAGGCTACCCTCTGAAAACTAGTATGAGTGTTATGTAACCAAACTAACCAATTTTCATGTGCATAAAGGGTCTTTTTTAATTTGGTGTCCTTCCAAGTAAACATTAACTATTGCAGAGTTTAACATTACCTCCCTAATAATATGCACAACGAATGATACAGAAAAATTATTAGTTGGGTAAATAAAAGATTAATTTCAACGCTAAACATACCACACACATAACAAGGAATACTTTTTGTCATGGGTTACGCAATGAAAGCGCGTACAGTACTTCTTAGGAATTAGGGAAAACTTTTTAAGGAAACTGCTTCATTTTTAAAGAAAAAAATGGTTGCAATGGTGATATCAAGATTGATACCTTTTTTCATGACAGGGGGAGCGCGGTCTTCATGGACTCCATGGCACACCAGGTGAACCAGGAACAGCGGTAAGAAATGATAATGAAATACACACGGTTGAACAAATATCACTATGAACATGACTGAAAAAGAAAGCGGACAAAATATACAGTTCCTCAGGGAGACAAAGGAACATCCCTTCACTGCTATTATGTAAAAAGGTGAATATGCATGTGACACCTGTTCTACACATTTTTTACATAATAGCAGTGAAAGGATGTTCCTTTGTCTCCCTGAGGAACTGTATATTTTGTCCGCTTTCTTTGTCAGTCATGTTCATAGTGTATATAGTCCCTCTTTCCAATCAAAATAAAAAAATTAAAATAAATAAATAGATAAATAAATAAATCAAGAACAAAATCATATAATTTGCATTGAGGAACTATCTGAAACCAAGAATTAAAAAATTACGATCGTTGTACAAAACAATAGGCCATTTTCGTAATGTAGCCAAATTTAATACATACGTCTTTGTGAAGTGCCTCAATACAAATTATTTCATTTACCTGATAAGAATAATAGTATTTCAATAGATAGAATTCGAACTGCATACATTAGTTGTTGCAACATTATGGCTTGACCTACCTAGCAACACTTAGTTTGCATTCTGACTATTGAAATACTATTATTCTTATCAGGTGAATGAAATAATTTGTATTGAGGCACTTCACAAAGACTTATGCATAAAATTAGGTTACACTACGAAAATGGCCTACTGGACAGGAGAGTTTAAGATTAGTTAGGATTACCATTCTTTAATTGAACACTTAAATTATGTATGGTTAAAGGATGACTGACCACCTGTTCACAAAAGACAGTGGTATGTCCTCACCCACTGAGTGCCTTATTACATTAGCATTGCAGGTGTTCATATAATAAGCCCATTGAAACCCTTCTTATCGTGGTGTTGTTTGGGGATTTCTGACATAGCAACTGCTTAAAATGTAATTGAATTTTGTGAGTGGGCATTGTATAAAAACATGCAATGATATTGTAAATAGGTGGTCAGCTGATGGGAAGGGACATACCGATGTCTTGTGTTCATCTAGCTGACTGATGAATTGATCCCCTCAAAGCTTGCCTCCAAAATCGAAGTTAAACTAGTACTGAAATCAGCGTAACTAATCAGATTTATTTACTAGGTAGATGGCACATTATTAGTGCATTATATTATTATTGTTATCATTATTATTATTACTATTATTATTACCATTATTATCTATATTATTATGATTATTGTAATTTTAGCAGAAACAGATAAGTGTGAGTGTCATGATTTTGTTTATGCCTCCTATTTTCGTTGCTATTCGTGTTGCTATAGGGCTACCAAGGCACACAAGGAACTAAAGGAGAAGACGGAGATCAAGGACCAACGGTATGTTCTTTTACATTCGTATATCTGATAAAAATAATATATTTCTTGCAACTGCTCTCGTAATACTAATTTTACGTAAAGCGATAATTTTTTGTTATATGTTTCTATTTTTAAAAAATATTTTTCATTTGGCATTTTGAAATGTATCATACCTCAATAAGAAACTCTGTATCCGGGGTTTTTCCGAAAATGACTATGTACTAGATATGTTACCCTGCCTGTGACTTATACTTTCATTTGTTAATCACCGCAATCATGGGTTATTTATTCTTTATGTAAATATTGCATGTTTTTACAATGAAGATAAAATTTAAAAATATGTTGTTTAAAGTCATAGAGCGCTACTTCATTAGAAATAAAGTAATATTCTATCCCAAATGGTAGCCCAAAGTATCCGTTAATTGTGATCTGAATGGATGTTTCTATTTCTAGGGACAATTAGGTGAAGGGGGAACTGCAGGAACGAGTGGATACATTGGTGTTCCGGTAAGAGCAAATAATTTGTTTGATGTGATAGTTTTTCAAAGTGAAATTGCATTGTCCGACAATCGTGCGTTTGTTTGTTTTTCTTTCTCCATTACAATAGTATATTTGTAAAGCGCTTAGAGACATTTGTAGTAAGCGCTATATACAAATTAAATATTATTATTATTATTATTATTATTATTCATGATAATGTCCTTTATTTTATTTTTCATAGTTTTTTGCAACTGAAGTAAGCTTTCCTCCACAATGTATTTTGTAGAAGTAAAGTGCTTAGTCGGCTAAAGAAGTTGTTTATATTTCTTTATAACGTTTGATTTGTTTCAGTATTCTATAAAAATACCAAATCGAGTATATTATGAAGGTGTTGTTTTTGTTCGTTTGCAGGGCCCGGCCGGTGGACCTGGAGAACCAGGCCTTGCGGGGGACGATGGAGCAATCGTGAGTTCTTCAAATCCATTTTATATGACTCTTTTACTAGGAAGAGTGACTGGTTGTCATGTAAACAATGCAATATGCATTTGTATTTAATAGCAGCCAGACGAAAGGGATTCGTGAGCAACACGGTAGCCGATATTTTACCCCGGCGATTGGATGCATTTCAAGATTTGTATCTTACTCCAGGGATTAAAGCTCTACTGGTGTAAAAACTTAATTATGGGGTTACTTTCATTCCCATAGCAATTATATAGTTCTTAAGCTGTCATTAAAGACTTCCTCGAAGATGATTCCCAATTTGACAAAATCTTTGTTCCTTTTCAAGCGAAATCAGTCTCATTTTAAGATATGATATATGTGTTCACCGACGTTTTATTATCAAATTATATTTGTCTTCCTATTGTTAGGGTGAAGATGGCTTACCGGGCCCTCAAGGACCATTTGGGCTTCCAGGTAATCTGGTAAGAATCGTGGAGTTATGATTGTGATGATGATGATGGTGTAATGACAATGATGATAACTATTATGATATTGAAATGGTGATGATATTGATGATGCTAATGATGATGATGATGACAATGATAGTGATGATGATAACGTCAGTGATTGTGTGGTGATGATAATGGTGATTGTAAAGATGGTGGTGATGATAATGACGAGAATCATGATGACAATGTTGACAATAAGTTTGATGATGATGATCATGATTCTCATAACTGTGATGATGATGCTGATGATGCATGCTCACGACAATGTTAATGATCAGGCTGGTGATAGAGGTGATGATGATGATGATTATAATTAATAAGATTATGCAGATAACTGATAACGATAAGATGTGATATAGAGTGCTCAATTTGTCACGAATAGGAAATTGTCAAGGTTTGAACTTTGGCTAGGGTCTGAAAACGGGCATGCCTTATTTGTGCACATCAAATTTTTGTCTCATAGCTAATACAATAATGACTTTTTCCCATAGAAGTTATAATATGTTCTTCATCTAATAATCCTAATGTGTTCAGGGTCACCATGGGCCACCTGGACCTAAAGGACCACTTGGACCACAAGGTCCACAGGGACTGATGGGTGAAACAGGACTCCTAGGGGAGAAAGGACTACCAGGAACTCGGGTGAGCAGATGGTAGTCTTTAGAAGAAAAAATGAAACTAGATGACGAAAATCTCAGTGTTTGAGGTGTCATTCTATCCTTTGTATCCGTTTGTTTCATTGAACCCCATCGTGTCGTTGCATTCACTCCCATTCACCGATTGTCCCTCTTCTGCTCTCGCAGTTATAATTTTTTTTTTCTCTCTCTCTCTCTCTATATATATATATATATATATAAAGGAAAATAGGAAATAGCTCTGTGAAAAAAACATAATGTCCATATTTTTCTTCAATTGATTTTTGTCTATCTTTAACTGTTTCTTGTCTTCGGATTGATATGATGGGTTTACTTTTTAAGATCATGATAATCATGCTTTGTAAATAGCTATTAAAACATATTTTACTGCATTCGAATTGATCAAATGAGGTATATAGTCACAGCAGGGTTATTATGAATACTAAGATTTTTATGATGTCATATAACCTTCAACTCTTTCAAACTTTTCAAAAGTTACATCCTCAACTTCCATTGTGTTATTTAGTCCAAACTGCGAAAGTATGAGGCTACACAACAAGTTCAGAAATTCAACAATTGATTATTTGTCCGGGCAAGGTCGGATTGTTTTACTGGAAACAAGCTACTGTTCTAGATTTCGTTGAGATATGTACAGTGTGTTTCATTTTGATTTACAGGGAAGACCGGGATCTAAAGGACAACAAGGCACCAACGGGTGGATAGGAGAAGCGGTAAGATATTAGAATTGTATAGTTTTATAGAATATAAGCTCTAGTTTGTGTAAGTTGATTTAAGTTGATTAAACACGTAATCCTTTTAGGGGGTAATTGACAAATGCATTATGATTTGATATTTCTTGATCAAATCTTCAAAGGTTACCAAGATTATGTATTGGACAACCAAACACAAATTAAGGCGTGTTTTTTCCTTCTTTATTTTTTTGCGAGATTATTTGCCATTAAACAAGAGTAAAATATACATTAAATGATGGTATTATCGACCATTGGCATCTTTAAAATATTTATTTGTCATTAATTTCCAATATAATATGTTTTTTGTGACATTTTCCCACTTATTTCCCTTCTCTTTCCATCTTAGGGCAGTCCTAGTCCACCGGGCCTGCCTGGCACAGATGCACCGAAAGGACAACAGGTAGACATTGATTTTTGTCACAAAAGTAATGTATTTTATTCATTCATTTATTTCTGACATTTATACAGGGCAGCACATTTCACCAGAAATGGTGGTCTTACATGAAGCCCTGTTTATATCACATTATCTATCTAGTCTTAGTTCTACTCAAACAGTGCTTTTTACTTAATCTATTTCCTCTCCTCTCCATCTTATCCTTCTTCCATATCTCCTGTTGTTTCCTCTCCTACAGTTCCATATTTGTGATAGATGGAAATATGAGATTATTTGCAGTAGTCAAATTGGGCAGGAGCCAAGTGGTCCATAGAACTACCCCCCCCCCCCCCCCAGGAAGAGTCATTCGCGCACCGTGCAGAAACATATCTTGAGTGATATTTGTGACAAACATGCAGTGAGATGTGGAAATAATAATATATATATGTCTTCGCGGGGTTTTTCCTCAGTGGGATTCCAATTAGTAGTGAATCTTAAGATTCTGAATACTTCAAATATTGTGTATTGTCGTTTAAATGTTTTTTATTTTTGACCTTATATGACTTTTAACAGGGAACACCCGGCTTAGAAGGTGTAAAAGGAAGTCTGGGTTATGCTGGTAGGAACGTAAGTATTTAGCTTTCTTATTGGAAATGCAAAGATACTCAAATGAAAAGTCTTAATGGAACATTTCATTTTTAAATGTATATTCGTAATAAACATATTAGAGACAAAAAAACTGTATAAATACTTTTGTGATATATTGACTTTGTTGAGTTTACTTAAGAATATGTTTATAATGTTCAATGGTTTACTTCCACCTAGGGAGAGAGGGGACCCCGCGGACCACCAGGAGAGACAGGTGAAACAGGAAACTCGGTAAGGAGCAGATTAATATCTTCTTTTTGTTGTTGCCTGTTTAAACCCATAAAGATAAACTTCAATATGCCAATGTAAAAATAAATTCGAGGCAAGCTATATATGATAGTATAAGAGAGAGCGTTACATCCTCCAGTGCTTGTTTAGTAACGATAATCTGTTTGTGACCTTTGCTGCATATTTACGCATTATCATCTTCCATTTCGTCATAATGCATGTTGCATTTCTTAATAAATGGCATAAAGTCTAAATATTAACCATATTAATAATGATAATTGTCATACTACCTATTTCTAGGGCCCACGTGGATTTACTGGACAAATAGGACTAACGGGAACCAGCGGTAATCAGGGTGAAATGGGTCCAGAAGGGCCAAAGGGGCCACTTGGAAACCTCGGCGATCAGGTACAAACAATTATATTTTCCTTCGTGAAATATGTTAATCATAAACTTTGCAACTAAACATATCAAGTGGAAACATTATTTCATCACTGGATACTTAAAACGTTATATGTTTGTGAATGATTATGGATTCGAATTAAATGTTGAATTCCATTCCTGTTAAGGAACGAAATGATGTAAAAGTCTAACAGTTTCTGGTAACAGTTTCAACCACGGGAGCATCGATTCTTTGAAGGCACTGAGCATTGTTTCCCCACTTTGATCATGGGATTCGCTATGTATTGTGTGCCCTGTATGTTTGTTTTATACCACTGTTCCAAATTATACCAATTCAGTTGAACCCAACACTGGCTCTTTGACAAGAGGAAAACCCAGACTGACTTCCAATTATAAAAGCCTAAGCTTAATGTCGGGTCAGAATACGTGTCAATGTGCTTCCCCTTAACTCTACCCCTTCCACTCTTTATATTGCGCTTTGGCTCCCATAGCTATCTGCATAAGATAGAAACATGTTCATTAATCATTCTCTCCCCTACCCTGTCCCTTCATCCTGCCCTCTGTGTTTTACTCTGGTTGTCACCGGCGACCATTCCGATGTACATCTTGACTATGGTCACGGAAGTATTGATAGATGATATGCTTGATTTTACTTCATAATTCTCGTTCGAGAATATATGAGAGCCCGCCCGCACATGTGCAATCATTATCGTTCCGCAATATTTTCTTAGTGCGATCACTAGAAATTTCATAGCGCAAATCCGTCGAAATCTCCGCAATCGGAAGTTATTCGATTTTTATTTGGACATTTATTTGTTGATTGGACCTTGGTCTTCATTTCTACACGTCGATTTATATACTCTTCCCTCTAATTATTCATAAAATAATGATCAAACTTCAAACGTAAGTTCTCGTTTGATCTTACTATTATTATGGTTCATTGCAGGGTGGTAATGGTGAACCAGGAATTCTAGGGCTTCAAGGTTTCAAAGGCCCACCGGTGAGTTTACAATTCATCAATTATATTTTCTTTTCCCCTAAAAATGAATTAACGTGTGATGTTGGCTAGAAAGAGTATTTGATTATTAAACTTTTGGTGACACTAAGTTAAGGACCTGTCAATTTAGTGTTTTTTCCCTTTTTAAATTGAAAGTTTACTTGGTTCTTTCAATGTCGAATTACGTTTAAAACATTTTCGAGTAATCATTATATCAGTTTAAAAAAATATATATATATATCCATTTTCTGTCAATTCATAGACTACAATCATATTCTTGGAGGAGTTTTGGTGGCCTTGGAATAAAAGGGGAGTAACTTCATGAACGGAAATATTTTCTTTCTCTATTCTTCTACTTTACTTCACCGCTAACCCATGTTAATCTTGAGTTATGTCTTTACAAATATCGCCATGATAGTCATAAAGCATCATCAAGTACAAGTTTCTCAATCTCTGTTGACGTTTATTTCAGGGATATCTTGGTGATGTGGGAGATCTCGGTTTTCGGGGAGTCAAGGGACGAATCGGAGAGGCGGTAAGTTTTCACCTAGATAATGTCATTGTGACGTCTTGCTGGACAACTTTACCATTCGTTTCAACACACACAATGACTAAAAATGTTTTTTGTTTTCTCCAAAAGGTATGACTGAGGAAGGTCTTTTCTTCTTTATAGAGGATCTTTAATAATTATGTTTTTTATAATATATTTTTAGTAGAGCCCCCAAGCGAGAATGTGCATAGAAGAAAAACAGAAATTAATTATATGTTTGTACTCAACAAACGGAAGGGTTGTCAGTGACTATAGTCACAGTCCACTAACAAAATTGCCATTTGATAAACGTGTAGATTGGTGGTCTCATATTTCAAACATCATAACTCTCTTATTACTAAGTCCGATTTATTTCAAACTTTCGCTATTCTGTTTCTCTTATTTTGTCTACTTTATACAATTCTTTTAACGAAGGTTGCATTGCCCTTTAACATTCATTTGTATCATTACAGGGTTCTATTGGGGCAAGAGGTCCTGCAGGCTTTCCTGGGCTGCAAGGAATTCTTGGTCAATTCGGCATTCAGGTAAGATTGTCCAATTCAATTTAGATTTGTAAACGATTACATAACATAACATTGTTGTAACAATTATCCCAACAAATATTTAGACGTTTTTATCATGATTATTATTGTTATTGTTAATATGCTTATCGTATGGTACGCAAAAATGGGAAATGGCAACAGTGCGTGAAACAAAACAATGATTACTCATGTTTGTCTTAATACCTCTCTTTCTGGGAAAAAATATTATTTATACATTTTTGTTTACCATTAACCCTTTATGTAGAAGATTCATTCTTGTATGTTATATGCTTTGAACTCGTTTCCTTCTTTTCTTAACGACTTTTAACTGATAGGTAATTGTTTCTATAATTCAATCTTTATTCACACAGGGTCCAAGAGGAGATATGGGAGAAAAAGGCAGACTGGTAAGAATGTACACTTTTATTAAATAGTATTCCCGAACAATTATGAAATGATTACATGTGATCTGGATGTACAAGTAGTTATTAAGTTAACATTTTAACAACCCCCCCCCCCCCTCCAACAACAAAAAAATGTGTAAAAAATAGACCTCTAGATCTCCCACCAGTTTTATTCTGTAAAATGCTTACATCACAAAATGAAAACAAGCTCTATGAGAAAATTACTGTTTTCTTTATACATTATCTGTATGCAAACAAACTATGAATTGTACGTTTCCCGTCGTTTACCACCCTCGCCCACCCGCATATCAAATGAATCTACATGCGTGTAGGCCTACTTCTCTACAAGGAGCACGATAATAATTTCAGTTTTTGTTGATATTATGATAATGTGACATAGATAATGCCTTTAAGTTAAGTCGCCATGTCCAAAATACTTGAGATGGATAGGATGTATGTTGATATTATTCTTGGAAATTATTGTTATTTATAAAGTTGTGAATATTTTGACGCTTGCCAGAGTTTTAGATCAAAAAATCTTATTAATCTCTTCCCCCATATCCCTCTCTCTCTCTATCTCTATCTCTCTCTATCTCTTTCTCTTTCTCTTTCTCTCTCTCTCTCTATCTCTCTCTCCCCTTCTCTCTTTCTTTTTACACCTTTCCTTTCACCTTTCCTCAACAGGGTGATCCTGGATACCCTGGCCCACCGGTAAGAACATTGTGTCTTATATCTGTAAATTATTATTATTGGTATTATTAGTATTATTATTATTATTATCATTATTATTATTATTATTATAATTTTTATTATTGTTGTTGGTGTTGTTGTCGTTATAACTTCCCATTAGTGTTAATGTTATTGTTATTATTACTATATTCCAGAAACATATTTGTATACTTTCAAAAGTATAATTTCACATCAGCATTTTTAATAATTAAAGCTCGTGACTTTTTTAAATGAAATTACAGTTAAAGATACTGAAACGTAGATAGATGTTTTGACAAGGTCAATAAAAAAAAGATTTTAAGGCCTAAAATTTAAAAACAAATAATGCAATTTCAGCACAATGAGATTTGGCAAACATTTTAGAAAGTCACTACCGCATGTTTTTTTATAATGAATTTAAAATACATTTCATTCACGGCTGACATAATGAAAATAAAACTGTGAAATTATGCTTTTCAGTCCCCAACGGTAAATTTGTTTGTATTGATTAGCCACAAAAAATACCCAAGATTAATAATGCTAATTTTGTGTTTCATTTATTTATATTTCAAACACAGGGTTCTCCTGGTGGCTACGTGGTAAGTTGAAATAAAAAAAAATTCCATTCCTCTTGTGTGCTTTACTCGCGTGCATAACGCAATGTCCATGCCTATGCTAATTCTTATTATGGATCGTATTTGTCAACATTATTTTACCCTCAAGTTTTGATAATAAATTGAATTGAAAAAGAATAAGAAATTAAAATAAGAGTAAGGTAGAATAAACGTTCATGTGACACATGTTACACTTTATCTAAATCCGCCAAAGAGTTGAATTATCAAAATATTAAGTTGAAAATAGTACAAAATATACTCAAACAATTAAAATATGTTAAAGGCTTTAACCAAAAAAAAATGGTATCTATCTTTGGTAACTGCAATGGTATTATTTTTTCTTAATCATTCACTGCCACCTAATCAATTTGAAAATGCTTCCTACAATTTATGTTTGACTTTTGTTTATGTTTTGTTTATTTCTCTTTTCTTTCTAGGGCGAATTTGTTAATGACGCAGATGCTTTAGCCTCTCTTTTACATTATTTCTTCGTTTTACCAAGACCAAAACATATAGGAGTGAGTATGAATGTCCTACATCTCACTATTTTATGACAATATTTCGCCCGGACTGTCAAAACTTGTTGTTGTATGCTGACGTGTTCTCGATCCTTCGATAAAGTATTGTATTAGACTGGGAAATAAGTGTGATTGAATATCATGATGATAAAGGAAAATGCATGAACTGTATTTGAAACTTCAGTATAGCATTCTACTAGCATTCAAAATGCATATGATGTAGTAAAGTTAATATGTTCTAGGGAAAATGTAATTGTTATTTGTCATTCTACAGGGGATAGCTAGGGATTGCGGTATATATTTCCTTTCCTGTTTTTCATCGAATTTGTTTATCTTCTGCGGGATAAGAAATAATATTCCATTGTTAACAACAAGATATAAGAGGGTTATTTCATTGTAGACTTCAAAATCTGTTGGTATTGCTAATGATCCAAGCTTGCAATATTTCGTTTTGTTTTTCAGGACGTGGACGTAATACATATGATGAAGTATTTATACCGGTATATCGAGGGTATGAAGCACCCATTGGGCACCCAAGATCTCCCTGTCAGGACGTGTCGAGACTTACTGGATTGTCAGCCAGATATGGACGATGGTAGGTTATACGCAGGCATGACTTAAGGGCAACACAAATAACTATAACGAAATAAAGTTGATTACATACGGTAATCAGCTATCTAAGGTTTTGATCTTGATTTATTTGGGTGCAAATCACAAAATTAGATGTTTTTAAAGCATTACAAATCTTTGATGATCAACAAAATGCGAGAAAAGAAGATTCAGGAATTCAACAATTCGATTCCCTGCAATGAAGCTGCAAGGCTACTTAACTGGACAAAACGTAGAGAATACCTGATCACAGATGAATCCAATCGCCATGCAATTAATAGTCAGTGTCTTCTAAACCCAAGATCAGAGATCTTGTCCCATTTCTCTTCCCCACCTGGAAGTCATTTTGCCAAGATCTAGTTTACCTGCTGAATCATACCTGTTTTCCCATCGTTTGTACGGCAGCCATATCAAGCGTCAAGATAATTAGAAAATGATCTTGAAGAACAAATTATGTCATTCAATCTTTGAGTTGACATAATGTAACGTTTTTGTACCCTCGATCTCTCACTTCTTTTTGTCATTGTCTACTCTTTGTATTATGACCTTCTTCTATCTTTGTCGTGTAAAGTATTGTCTTGTCCCTTTCTCGTCTCTGTTGGCATCCTCCTCCCCCCTATTTTGTAGTTCCTTTTGTAGTTACAGATTAGTTAATTTAATTACTCATTATTCCTAAGTTTCATTTGAGGTGTTCACACTTGTACAAGTATTACTTAAATTTGTTTCAATCAAATGCTTATAATTGATTTGTAATGTTTCGTTGGAAACTTGAATAAACTTGAATTGAATTGTCAAATTTTACCCCATGAATGATGTCCTTTAAACTTGACAGGAGAGTATTGGATCGATCCTGATTTGGGTTGCTGCACTGATGCGGTAAAGGTTTACTGCGGACTGGCTGCCGGTGGCTACACGTGTCTCCTATCACGAGACACAAGTACGGTATGTATTTATTATTTTTTTTGTAAAATTAATTTATTGATTAGTATATGCTTTTGAACAATCAAACAATCATACACAATCAATTGAAATAACATCGTAGCATCTTAACATAGTTAAAAAAAAAATATGTTTCGTTTTCTTGAATAACAGTGTTTTCAAAACTGCATAGCTTTTTTGTTTTACAGTTCCTTTCGATCTTTAATCGGTTGTGGATTAATCTTTTGAAAATACAAAGAATAGAGACTTCATGAAACATGAGTTTGTGATTTTCTGCTTGCATAAATGTTAAATAAACTGCGTATTTTGCATATATGATAAGAAAGTACGGTATGTATTGATCAAAGATCCATTTGTACTTTAAGCGAGAAATAATATGGGATGAAGACTGATAGACTGATGTCCAAACCAGACTTTCAATAAGCAAATGCATCAATTGGCTATATGTAAGCAACCAGAGACCCATAGCTAATAGCTTATCTTCCGAAAGGTCTTGACTGACTTAAAGAGAAGGTTGAGTTCTGGGAAGAGGTGAAAAATAATTTGTGAGCGTTACTTATTCTTATTATGCAAGTGTGGAAGAACATCAGATAAGACATGTTCCCTGAAAAGCATGGCTCTTTAAATGCCTTCATATTCTAAATGTGCATGTAACATCGTAAAAATCGGGGAGGGGGCGGCTTTTTACGCCACGTGTTCGTGTAGTCCCATATACATCTTTCTGTGTACAGTGTTTGTAACTCTACCAAGACTTGGCCAAATTTCTTATCATTTGATGATTCCAGAACCTTTCAATACACACAAATTCTTATATGCTAGATAATCAACCTTTTCTGGTCGGTTCCACACCGTTTCTTTCACATGACCAGAACTCAACTTCATCTTTAATACCACTCTATGATTTCTAGGCCATAGCTTACCCTAATCCATCCATCAACTGCCAGGAAAGGTGCAGTGTTTTTACAAATTTGTGCTTTCAATCCGATTCTTTGGGGGTGGCTGCTCTTTGTCTTTTTGATTTTTATTTTGGTTGTTGTTTTAGAATTCAGGATTAAAATCTTCAAACTCATTATGGAATTGTACACAATACAACATCACTCCAATCTCTAAAAATGTTGCTACCACACTCAAGCACCACAGTCAATCACGCGTGTACTTATCTACTGGTAGACAACAGACTATATCCTCTGCAGTTGTGACATGCTTTTATTTTCATTTCATCTACCCCTTACAGCTGGATTATGACATCAGTAAGCCTCAGCTCAACTTCCTACATCTCTTGAGCTCTACAGCGTTCCAGGAAATCACCATCCACTGCAAGAACGTACCTGTGTGGAGAAATCGGAGGGGAGGTTACGAGAACGCGCTGACATTCCGCGGTTGGAACGGAGTCTTCTTTTCGTACACCGGCCAAAGACCAGAAATTTTAGAAGACAATTGCCAGGTGAGTTTGGGTTCATTCACGGTATCACTGCGAATACATTAAAAAAGTCGATAATCAAATGTAGTTCCAAATTTACTTCGGTCAAACAACCGCGCCGTGTATCGAGATCATGAAGAAAGAGAAAATGCCACAAACCTATTCCTGGCTTTTGAAGGGCCGACTGGATTCTGCGTGATTATCCCCCTTTAATTACTCTCCCTCACCCCCCCCCCCCCGGAAAAGGTGTAGATGGGAAGCGGGATTCTAGTTGAAATATAATTTCCCCGCGGGCAAAATTCGAGAATCTACATCAATAGTTATAAGAGTTTAAAACCAAAGTATACCTCTAAAAAATGTGTCAAGGATCCTTAATATGCCTCTGGTTTTTTGAAGTACACAGAACATTTATATTCGCCACTTGGTGAACGGGTCACCATCATGGAAAGTCAATACAATATTATCATAATTCTTCTTTTATCCTTTTGAATTTCAGCTTGAGGATTCAAAATGGAGGACCACACGCTTCGTATTCCGCGTTCATGACGTCCATAGGTTACCAATCGTTGACATCGTTACTGACCCGGAAGTGCATCGGATATCGGAAAATCATGGTTTTAAAATAGAAATTGGACACACATGTTTTGACTGAAAGTGAAGAAATATATATAAAGGGGATTATTTTTCACTTCTTTCCAAGAAATTTGTCAAACTTGCACTTTTCAGGGAAAGAGAAATTAAAACAAAATGCCAGCATATTTCTCAAACGAAAAATATATCGAGTTTTGTTAAAATTTACATAAATGAGGTTAACCATCAAGTAATATTCATCTTTTAGTAATTGTTACTGTCTTATGACAAGTGGGTGAAGATTGTGGTATATCAAGGAATGAAGAGCCGAATACAGCAACATTGTTGAATGCTTTTTTAACATTCCATATCACGTAAAATTGTTATTGTAGTTTTTTTAATGCAGTCTTGAAAGTGGCAAGTTTTTATTATCATCATTTATTATTCGTCCTTATTGTAGCTGTTAAAAGATTTGCGAGGATATCTTTAAGACAATAGGATTAATTGTATGATATGATTCCTTTGTTCGAATTCCTAAAGCCTTAACGTCTTTGTCGCAGGTAAAATTACTCCAAAAAAAATCTAGGTATTGATAGGTCAGTCGATAAATGTTTTCATTTTATCCTAAGTAGACCTACCTTGACAATTTTAGTGGCTTGAATAATCTGTTTTAGCTTTTAATTACGGATTTCATACTTCAGTTCAATAATAAATTGCAAAGTACAATGTACTACTTTCTTTCTCTTGCCAAATATTTTTTCTTCAAAAGTTTGTATGAAAACTTTTGAGATCCTATTTATCTAACTATAAAATATAATTTCTTGGTGCTGTTACATTATCTCAATTCATTTGATAAAATATGATGTCAAATTATTGCTCTTGAATAAGATGGAAAAAAGACGTGTAAGTGTGATTGTGGTGCTATATATATTTTCGTAAATGTCACATAACTTTAAATTAGTTATTATAGACTTCATACATTTCTACTATGGTGCTAACTGACCGACACTTATTAGAGGTCACAACTTTGTAAAATAGTTTCTCTTCGCTGTTAAAATGTATTATACTGAAACTCTGTGCTGTGAATGAACTTGATAGATTTTTACTTTCCTTTTTTGTATTGAATCATATCGTGCCATTAATTATAGCTAGAAATTGACCATGATGAAGGAAATATATTCACATTGACGATGGCTGGCGATTTTATGTAGTGCATAGAATACAGTAGGCCTACAACCGCATCAAATTACCGATTTTTGTACATTTTGAAATCATGGAAGATGTATTTATGTTTCTGTTTCTTTTTCGATGAGCGCAAAAATAAGAGTCCCTAAGCGTAGCAAATTAAAGGCCTACGTGTAGTTACATTTAAGCGCAAATAGATTATAAAATGCACGTCTGCAAACGAGAAAGTACAGCTGCCCGGAGTTTTGATTTTGATTTTGTTTTCTATGGAAGTCTTGTTTCTAGTCGTCGGTATCTGACGGTTGATTTTTTTTATTGATACAGGGTACGTGCTGGTACAGTTGTACATGTATCTATTTTAGTGTGCTTTAGTAGGTACTTTTAGATACTGTGATAGGTGGATAATTATGCGCGTATATATTAGAATATCATCATAGGATGACCTTAGATAGTTCCACACAGTAGATGTAGTCGTTTACGTTTTGGATTTATTTTGATACGATGTACAGATTTCACTATCTCTTCTGATTTTGTTTTTGTAAAGGCAGTTGCTGTAATATTAATTGTAGGTGTGTAGCATGGTTAGACAGCATGTTATGTTTTTTTTTTATTACTGTGTACGTATCAGTTGTAAATGTTTTAAATTATGTCGTGAGAAGGCGCGATAAAGCTACCCTTTCCTCTCTGTGTATATTTCAAAGAAAACCGTGTAGTTGAAAAATCGCCTGTAAGATCCCTCCTTACTTTTTTCTTTTTGATGATTTATATTTTGATATTCAGTTAACAACTAAATTATTCATACCATAACCAAGTTTGGTAATTTGTTAAATATGTGACAAATTAATTCGTCCAGATTTATGTTTCGTGAGATGAATCTGACATATAAAAGCTTACATCTAACAGTCTTCAACACAGACCCTCATTGAACAAGTCCACCTTTCATTCTTAAGTAACGAAAAACACATCGAATTTTTTTTTTTTACAAGAGGTATGAATAATTTAGTTGTTAACTGTATGCCGTGTGTAAGTTCTAAATCTTACTGTAAGCTAAGTGGACCAGATGTACAAATATTCAACACTATTCAACATTAACTGTAAGAGTATGTGCTCATGTATTATGGGAAGATCTTTAGGACTATTCTGGAGCTGAATTTCTCTACCTCATTAGGAAAATTTACAGAAAATTGCTGCATATACTTTACATACCAATTCTGTTTATATTTAGAATTGTGTTATCCTATAAGGGCCCCATTCTTGTGTGAATTATATTAATATTTCTCTACTTTAAAAAAAGTAATTAAACCCTACATCTGTCAAAATGTCTAGAATTTATCAAAAAAGGAAAATGCAGAGTGACCCCAAAAGTTAACGTTATTTTGAAAGCGACTCCAATTCGTTAAATGCCTATTTTATTTGCCATCATTTACACTTTGCCAAAGATTAAGATGGCCCAAGTGACGTTTCGATCATAAGAAAGTTCGAAATAGGTCAAGGATTATTTTATGGTTTAATATTTTCATGGCAAAAGTATGCCTTTTGACCTTCCTAAACCTAAAGTTATGTTTAAAAGAAGCATTTCCTTTTAAGAAGAACAGCAGAATATTCTAGTAACACATTAATATCTGTTTCAAGTCGCTGGAATTAGTGTTTTTCTTATCTGGGAGAGAAAGATCTCTGACTTTCTATAGGTCTGTATAGATTTGACAATGAGAATAGTGTTTGTGTTACAATATGTAATGGATTGTTCCAGTTTTATTTGTTGATAAATAGAACAAACAAAGTGATTTTCAGAAAAAGTTTTGTGTTTACTTTGTACGTGTACATTAGACTACTTTTTCTGTGAACGAATTAATACATTTTAAGACATCAACGGTTTTCACAATGCACAACCCAATGCATCAAAGCAAAACAAAACAAAACAAAATTAAGCAACAACAAACAAAAACAACAAGGAAACAAATCTCTAGAAACACATTCAAAGTGACAGCTTTGTTTGCATTAGACACTTCAACCTATATTTAAGAAATAGGGTTTTTTTTGTGGGGCGGGGTCTTATTGATGGAGGATTCTGCCGACCTTTTCATTTTAGACCTTAGTGGTCGGTAAACCGGCAATTATTTTAAAGATAATTCATAATCTGCTTCGGAAATCTACAAGATATGTTTAAGGGGAATACCGATAATGATGATACTAATAATATTATTACATATAGACAATCACTTGTAACCTGGCAGACCTGAAAAAAATGCCTTTTATTCCGGACAGTATAGGCTTTTAAGCTTGGCGTACCGTACAACTCACCGTCACTGTACGGCAAACCTCCGCGGAGAACGTCCAAAGAGATGTCGCCACAGTTTCCGGTGAATAAGTCCGAAGATCATTCCAACGGGAAGCTGTATAGAATCTCATACAGAATTGTGATTGATCGTCACGTATCTGTAGGTCTGACATTCATGTTATCGACAAGAAAAAGATATATAATATCCAGTTCTTCAACGGAAAAGCAAACTAAATCCTAGTTCGTTGAATGGACCCGCCCCCTCTCCCTCCCCCCTACTCCGGGAACGGAGGGACCGCATTCATGTTTCCAAAATCTCCGGAGAAGGGGTACTTTTCACGTCCGGCTCGTAATACACAAAAACCAGCCCGCATTATACACCGGACTAGCCCCGCTTTCAAAGGGAATGAACATGCATACGCGTACTGAGTGGATATTAGTTGAAATATTGCATGCATTATTGGGTGTGGTCTGCTAGCTGTATCTTAAAGATATAGACCGGTAGTGGTAAAATTGCGGTTTATGGGTTATAAGTTATGGGTGCACAATATCCATTCTATAGTGTTTAAATATTTCCTTCAGAGGTTTAGATTGTAATACTTCAACATAAATTCGCAAAAAAGAAGAAATATATGCCCAAATGTTCAATGTTGAAGTGCATTCGCGATATTTATCTATCGATATGATAGTTTACCAAATATATCAAATTAGTAGACGGTTTCCCAGGAAAATGTATATCATCACGTTTAGTCAAAACATATTCTTTCTCATTTTTTGAGAGGGGGCGTTTCCAAAACTCGTCTATACCTTTAACGCCAGCACCATGTCAATGGAGCTCGTTAGAATAGTAGACATAATTGTGATCAGACAATTTACGCTATACCTAAACCGAATAAATAATTAATATTATTGATATATCAGGGAATTCTTCTAAAAAAAGCTCGATTTGTTTGCATCCACATTCTTCTCCAAAGAATGAGAAATGTCTATGCACATGTATGGTCATTACACGATGGGTGGTATTCTGGTAGCGCGTACTAAGTTAGCGCGTACCGTAGTTAGTCCACACTTTTATGGAGTGCCAGTTGCCAACTCGTTTACCCTGTACAGATTATTTTAATCCTTCAATGAAAAGTGTCCAAAAAATTAATTTTGCAATGAAATGGGAAGAAAATGATAATATGAATATGAACTGAATTTCAACAAAGTATTTGGTAGATTATATTTGTCATGAATATTGAAGGAGGAAGATGAAACGTGGCATTCCATAGAAGTGTGAACTAAAATTCTTGTTTAGTCTGGACTTAGTCCCGGCTTAACTTATGAAAATACCACCCAAATTATGTTTTCCCAAGGAAGGTTGTCAAATTTATCTTCAGTATGTTTTATGAAATTTCCTTGAAATATTTATTTTTAAAAATACTCTGAATATCAAATTTGATTTTCAGTTTTAGAAAAGTCAAGGCCGTAAAACGTATGTGTAATAGGAGGTAAATCGGACTAAAACAATCAGATTATACGTTATAATTTCAACTCCGGAAGACCTCTTGTAATAATCTATCAAGAACGATGGTAAAATGTGGAATGGCTTCTGCTATTTTATCACTTATTTCCACTGTTGGATGGACTGCCCTTTCAGCAAGTTGTTTTTCAAAAGGGGTCCTCACGCACGCCCTTACACACACACATACAAACGCACACACACACGACCACACTCACTCATGCTTGTGTACACACACACACACACGCACCAACACAAAATGATGTCGCAATTCAATACTAAGAAAGAAGAGACAAAGAGTTATGAAGAAAGATATATATATATATATACATAAAATATAATGCGTCATTAACATAGATCCGAATTCTTTGTGGATATTAAAGTGGGATAAAGTGGGATAGAATTTTAGTCCAAGTCCATAACAACCCTTTTAAATTGCTGAAATGAAAATATGTATTCAGTAGGTTTTCTAATAGCGTTTCATAGGTTTGCCCCCCCCCCCAATATGTGAGTAATGCAATACTTTACAAAACATGTATGAGTGAACCATATTGAATTTGTTAATAGAGTAACCTAATATGTATAAATTAAGAACTTAGAGATGTTAACATCGAGAGATAAACATAATAAAACAAAAGGAGGGAGATGCAATTTTACCACGTCCAGTTGCATATAATGACAAAATAATGGCAGGGTTGCATGATATACACTGTTTAAACTTATGAAACACATTCCTACATTCTTACATGATCACAATCGGCTAATTAAAATGACTAATGTTGTGGGTTTTGGACAGCAAAACGTCTATCATCGTGACTATAGTAATTGTCAATAGCACTGAATTTAAAAACTGAATCATTTGTCTTACTATATTATATTGTGTGTATTTAACATAATCTGCTGATACTTGAATCACTATCTACGTATATGTTGTAGTTACCTGTGAATACCACTACTACGAATTTTGAGATAGTTTATGTAACTAATCAACGTATGCAACATACATGATACATGGCATAGTTTTCGTTTATTTTTTTGCCTATATATTAGAGAGTTTCTCATTGCTAAAGAGGCTGCCTCACCGCTGAAATGTTATTACTGTCATTGAAAGTACATGGCGTAAGTGAGCCGATGAGATGTACATTGTCGATGATCAATATTCAAAAAGCGTATGAGCTCCAACCCCCACTCAAATACGCACACAAGTTGCGTGCCCGCGCAGGGAATCTGATTACCCTGGACAAACCCAAGCTACGTCACTTTGGGCAGGACTAAGTTCTTACTAGCTTACTAGCTTAATTTCTTTATAATACCAATAGACACATCGTTCGCAATCCAATTAGTGAATAATATTACTTCCACAGCATGACGCTTTCATCTTCAAGATAATATTTTTAGATGCGATTCGGAATGGTTTATAAGCAATAGAGAGAATCAAAGGATTCCAAATGCAATTACAGAACTGGAGAAACAAATTTATATTTTTAAACCATTCGAAGCGATAGAGTCCGCCAATGGTTGATACATAGATTAAATAAGGCAACCATATGAACCAGAACGAGATGGTAATAACGCCAACGGTTTTGAGACCCTTCAGTCCACTTGCAGTAACGGCTCGATGATTTCCTGGAGGGTTGTTCACTTCGGGCTCTGCACGCTGTTGAAGAATAATGCGACGCATTTGTGCGATCTTTGTCGCCTGTTGTCTTGACTTGTAGAAAATTCCACTACTGGTTATCAAAATAACGGCAAACCCCAGTAGGATCGGTGCAACCACAAGTAAATTTAAAGCTGAATCAGATATGTTATTTTGCGGTGTTAGACCAGGACAGACATCTTCTCTGATGAATGGTGTACTGCCTAGGTTATTAATCACGACAAGTAAGGCAACTGTACTTAACATACCAACCAACAAGGAGCAGAATAGTCTCTTCGACGTCACCATTCTCTGATGCTGAAAGGGTCGCATGATCATTATGAAACGATTGACGTTTATCAGGACGATTATTATTACCGAAACATAGACGACAAACAGACTCGACAGAAATACCTGAAAACACCCTGTGTCAATCTCTAGCGAAAGACTGACAACAAGGACCATTTGGCAGAGGACAATGATGATATCATTGATGGCAAGTGCTTTGTACAAAAGACTCTCAGTCACGTGTAGGCTGTCCATCGTGTGCAATGTGTATATTGTGAAAGTGTTCGTCAGGAAGGATAATCCAACGGAGAGAAGTGATATAAATAATAATATGGCCACTTCGATACGTTTCGTAATATTATCATGACTGTTTTCAATGAAAGAGGATGGCGTGGCGTTCCCAAGAATGTCTAGAGAAGTGTCGGTTGAAAATACGTCGGCCATTGTTCAAAATTGGGGATACACGCAGAGAAGCGAGAAAATATTAAGTTCGTCACAAAGATACCATCCAAAACTTTGTGTCGTCCTTTTCAATTAAGAGGAAGCGAAATAGTTGTCCAATTTAAAACATCTAACATCTAACTAGTCATCATGTGAATCAGATAATTTGGCAGGATAAAAAAAATAACCAGCAGTTGCCATTTAGGATGAAGCGAAGTGAGAAACATGTCTATCCGCCGTCTATTATAGTTGTTGATACGAAACCTGTAGAGTGAACATCGAGTTTATGGGCACGAAGTTAATCACAAAAATTGATGGCGTTCAAAACACTTTTATTTAGCTGTAATTGTCGATATAGACGCAGAAAGATTACTGTCTAACCAGCGTCTCTGGTTTATGCGAAAAGTGAAAATGTTTGAACATTTGCTTCAATCGTTAGAAATCAAGCGACGACCGCCAATAATAAGAACATTTAGTCAATCAAAAAGGTTGGCTTTCTAAACAACTGTGCCGCGATTGTCGTTTAGAGGTGCAGTGAAATATATCGAACCGCCGACGTCTGTTATGGTTGTTAGTTCGAACGTTCAGTTATATAACTTGGCTTTTACAAAAGCAAGATGTCACTCTATATAATCATCAATCCATT